ACTCCACAAAAAGCTTACCTTTTTTTTTAAATAACTCATCACATGAGCTCAACGCACACTTTAGACATACCTGATCTATAATAATATGAATTAGCCTGTACAAAACCTGGACTACATTGACAGGATGCAGGCCTTGTTTGCGTTGATACAGAAATATTCCATTCTATTTAGAAGATATTACCTTACCATTTACAATCTTTGAATCAAAAGATTGGAAATGGTTAGTTTGGAGAACGCTTTACAGCCAGTTTTTTGGCACTTTTTGGTTTGTGCTGTAGCAGCACCTGCTGGTTGTGTGTGTGCTACGAGTAATTATGTATAAATTCATATTTTCTTACTATTTTCAAGGTTCAAAATGTTTGCATGTTCTTTCATAGTGGCAGCTGCGTACTCATTTACCTGCTTTCAAACAGCTTGCCTCCAGATGTGTCCTTGAGCAGAAAATTAGGCTTCATCGAAGTATTAAGATTCTCCTGTGTTCTCAAAGGAATTTAAAATACATCATAACACCCACGTTTCTTTGAGTCAAAAGTACAATAATACCATATGGTGTGCAATCTTTAAATTTCCCATGCCAAGTAAATAAATAGAAAGCGTGAACAGATTAATATTGATTCACAGGAGGTTCTTTGGCTTTTAACCGACTGCTCATTTCATTTGCAGCAGCGACTTATACCTTTGCACTTCATTTCCTCCCTCTGATATCCTCTCTGCCCTCTCCTCCATATTCGACTAAACACTGTGGACAGGGGAAAAGAAATTCGACTGAAGCGTGTCAGCGCCATAATACGATGCTGCTTTAGTTTATAGCCGTGTTTGATTGTGTCTCGCCTCCTAAAAGTATCCATGAAAAGAGCTTTTACTTGAGAAGATAAAGCTTTAATAAAACTTACATGGGCTTTGGGCCATGTTTTGCATTCATGGCACAAGCAGTTATCATGGTGTAAATTAATACTCTATTTATATCAATGTGAATATATGCCATTTATAATCAAAGTTGAAACATTAGTAATCGAAACAGGGAGATATAATGAAGCTGGGCTGAGCTGGGCTAAGCTGGGCTGAGCTGCGCTAGGTCCAACAGACCCCCCTTTGCCCGTTGCAGGAGGGTCTGTTAAACCAGGCATGGGCAATTTTTTCCTGAGGGCCACATTGGAAACTGAGCCTCCTGTTGGAGCCGGACGTAATTTTCAATGTTTTTCTCAGGTTTATTTTTTTACACATAAATGAATCATATTAAATACAGTATGTTGCGACAGAGTGAGGAGCACAATGATTATAGTCTGAGGAAGACTCCGGGGGCCTGATAGAAACATCCAAAGGGCCACATCAGGCCTACGGCCGGGGTTTGCCCACCACTGAGACTGTTGGTGGGTCTAACAAAAAGGACTGTGATTCAGGACACTCAAAATTCTATCAATAAATCAAATTTACTTATAAAGCACAAGTCATACAATGCAACCCAAAGTGCTTCACAAGCAATTCTTCCGCATTTATCAACACTTATGGACATTGGTCAACTCCCCATTGACACGGTTTGGATGCAGTATTCACACCAAATAATATCAAACAAGACCTAATACTTTTCTAGTAGTCAGAATTTATTTCAAGTGATATAGCATCAACAATTTCCTAAAACATTTTGGGAATTTCTTAATACTGCTTATAAATTGAGATAGTGCTCAAAATAATTAAGCAGCTCTTTAAAGATCTTTCATTGCTTATCTTGATATGAAGTATTTTTATTTAATATCTAATAAATAAATCGACATTAAATATGTCTATTAGATAGACATATTTAAAAAAAACATTAATGTCTATTATATGGAGATCAGATGATTCACTCTGTTCGGTAGAAGCAGCAAAAGACCCCGAATATCATTATTATCTTGTGTTGCTCTGTTATTTTATAATGTTATAAGGATATTTTGCCTGAGGAAGGCCTGTGGCTGAAACGTTGCTAATAAACCACTGGTGTTTGCAAGTTAGACAGTGTGCGGGTGTCATCCTTTCTTTAATGTTATAAGTAAAATCAACAATACATATTTAGTAGGTGTCTAATAAACTTGTTTTAGAAGGTTTTTTACGAACTGACATCGAAGCAAGGACCTTTTGATGCTCACCCATCAATAGCCACCAGGGGGACAGACACATGCTCATACAGGATTTGTGTTTGCATTAGACGTTCTGGTTAAAATAGGTTTGAAACACGGTTGAAACCGAATGTAAGGCAAGGCAAGTTCATTTCTATAGCACAGTTCATAGACAAAGCAACATTAATATCACAGTCAGTATGCACAGCTGGTTTTAACCTGAATTTGAAAATTGTCAGAGTAGAAGCTCACATTTTCATCTGAATTAATCTGAAATTCTGCCTCCCCTGTTCGTGCTGACCCTGTGCTCCTCAGAGTCCAAGTTGGTTCATATGGCAATAACATATATAATGTACTAACACTTTTTAAAACATCAGAAGTTAATGCTATATGTTTAATAAATAAATGTGATCCAAATAAATAAACAAAATGGTCACTATGATGATGATAATTAGGATTATTTCATTTATTTATTATTTTTATTTATACTTTATTAAGGACTCACATGCAAGCACAGGATCCATAGCTAAGAATAATTAAAGAAAAGTTTTAAAAATAACAGAACAGAGTTAAAACACACATAGTAATCACATATTCACATATTTAGACCAAGTCACACATACAGAGAAGCACGCCAGTGACTCCAGAGCAAAGAAGTGAACCTGACTGAGCTAATGTAAGGACAAACCAGTGACTGTACAATAGCATTAGGCACCCTCACCACTCTACACATGAACCGATAGTAGCAGTGACGCAGGGCAGCAGGAAAGGAGCGCACCCTGCACTCAGCAAACATCTGACTCGCACTACTGTGTCTGGGGATATTCAACAGCATCCTCATCGAGTCATTATAGGCAACAGTTAACTTCTGCAAACTGGCCTGCTTATAGCTCCGCCATAGTTGGGCTGTGTATAAGGGAGCACAAAAAGATTGGAACAGGGAGGTTTTAACATTCACAGAGCACATGTTAAACTTTCTGACCAGCATGTTGGATTGGCCATACAGTTTACATCTCTGTCTGTGTATATCCCGGTCGTCTGTGAGGTCACTGCATATGTAATGGCCAAGGTACTTTACCTCCTCACTGACATTTAGAGCATTACCACATAGGGAGAATGCAGGAAATACAGATTTTATGTCATTTTTTGTCCTCACAATCATGATGAAGCTTTTACTAGAGTTATATTTTATATCATTTTGAAGACCGTACTCAGAGCATATCTTGAGGAGCTGCTGAAGTCCTGCACTGTACGGACTGAGCACAACCAGGTCATCGGCATACATGAGGTGGTTAATCACTCTGCCTCCCACAACACACCCAGTCTTACAGTGATTGAGCTGTACAGATAAATCGTCCATATAGATGTTAAACAACAGGGGGGGACATCACACTACCCTGCCGGACTCCATTACTGACCTTGAATGAGTCTGACACTGACCCACCCCACTTCACCCGCATACTCTGCTGTGAGTACCAAAATATGAGGACCCTAATAAGGTAGCCAGGAACACCTCTATTAGATAACTTCCTGAAAAGCCTCTGATGATTAATCCTATCGAATGCTTTGGATGCATCTAAGAAACAGGTGAAAATTGTGGAACCTTGACTGTGGTACTTGTCCAGAATTTCCTTAAGGGCAAAAATACTCAGATCAGTACCATGCTCTTGTTTGAATCCAAACTGGTTTGCAGCTGTATAAAGGTATGGTTCAAGTCTGTACAGAATGATCCTCTCAAAAACCTTGGCCACACAACTGGCCAAGGCAATAGGCCGATAGTTGTCCTTACTGTTGAGTTTCCCAGCCTTGTCTTTGATTACTGGGACAAGTAAGACTGACATAAGTGACACAGGCAAAACCCCATGAACAAAAAAACTAGTAAAACATAGAGCAAGAAGTGGGTATAACTTTTTGCTTGCATATTTTAGGTGCTCAGATGAAACTGCATCTGGTCCACATGACTTGTTACTCTTCAATGTTAAAACAGCATTAAAAACCTCAAGTGGAGTTACGATCACACCATCATTATTATCAACAGCCCCTATAATAGCATTATTGTCTTTACCACAATTATACAATTCATAATAATATTTCATCCACAATTTACATATATTGTCCGAACCAGTCACTCCGTCAATATCACAGGGAAGAGAAGTCTTGCAACTGTTCATCATTCTAACTTCTTTCCAAAAGTCAAAGAAGTTGTTGTTTTTCAGTTTGGAAGCAAGAGATTCTGCTCTTAGGCGATTCTCATTCCGCTTTATATAGCGCAAGGCACATTTGAATTTGGCATTTGCACGTTTCTTTTGTTCAAACAGTGACCCACTCCTGTGCTTCCCAGCTTCTGTCCAAGCTTTAAATGCACACCGAGCGTCCGCATGAGCTCCTTCCACGTACATATTCCATCCAGGTTTACCACTGTGGGTGTGCTTTTTATGTTTACTGAGAGGTCTACCAGCTGCAATGAGGGCCTCAATGACACCATTGTATAGTGAACATATTTGAGAGCAGTGCTCCTGACTTCTGCAATTAATGTCACGGCACAAAATGGCATCTTTGGGTACCTCGATAGTAATTATTACTACTACTATTATTATTATTATTATTATTATTACTTTTATTATAATTTACTATTATCATTATTATGGGCGGGACTTGTCTGTCTCCTCCTCCAATCAGCGGATGTGTAGGGGTGATTGACAGCTCCCGGTTAGTTTAGTCAAGTCAATCAGCGGCTCAGTGTCACCGGGTGCAGCAGGGGACAGCGCAGGAGGAGACCCTGGACAAGTTTGTTCAAAGACTCTAATATCAGCTCCTCGACTCACACTTTTTTGTCTCTTTTGTGATTTACGATTGTAGCGCGCACTTCAAACGCTTTCGTCTGCTGCTGGTTTTGATTAGAAAAGTATGGAGTGGCGACAGCAGACAAGTTTGAGCTGTGCAGACGCTTTCTCCGAGGCTCAGCGCTGGATAGAGGTAAAGTGTTGTTTAAGCTGTTTGATACTGGATCATTTTTATTATGGCTCCAGGCTAATGATGAAGCCTAGGTGTATTTTGTCTTTTGCCCTGCGCTGAGCTATATGCAAATATTATTAGTTATGAATTTATTGATTTTAAGTTGTGCAATACACAACAATGTACCATTACATTTAAAATAATTGTAGCCCTGCCACACAAATGAAAAGGAGCAAATGGAAGTAAAGGCAAATCTTATGTTGCCTTTTTTCTAAATCATGTACAAATATTTAGATAGATGGATAAACTTCAGCATTCCTTCTTGAACATAACGTGCAGTGGTTATTTCTATTGCACTATTATTTCTTAAATCAAGGCCTATTTCCTGCGTGACACATTCTGGACTGTTTTTATCTGATCATATATTTTTTGTTGAACCACTCATGTTTTTTAGTTATGGTATAACTATGAAAAAATATATGAACAAATGTGCCTGGAGGATACCCATGGGGAGAAACATCCAAACTCTACAATAAGGCCCAGGCCCATTTCGGATCCATGACCTTGCCATGTCATACATCCTCTCCTTCACTGTGGCACCAATGCATACCTTGAATGCTATACTTGTGCTGTGGTGCAGGGCGGAGAAAGGTCCACCTCAAACTCCATACAACCTGTAATGTATTTGTGTTGTCTCTTTTCATGTATCTAAGGACGCATTTAATCATCTCTCAAAAGTATTTGATGATTGTAGACATCTCTAATGTAATGTAGAGTATGTTACTAATCTAATTGGTTTGAGAATCTCAAATTTGACCATAATGTTAGTTTGGCTGATGGCAAACAACATGAGCGAATCTTCCTCAGTGTTTTCTTGGCAGTCAGCCCACGCAATTTTACCCTCCTATTCTGGTCCAATGACAGATGGAAGTGTGGTGATTGGAGATCAGTTTAGTATCACTTTGGCTGCACCTGTTTGATTGGAAAACAAGCCACTTTATTGTAGAAATAGTTTATTCATAACTCTGTTTTAATCACTGTTTGTATAGACCATAATGCAGTGTTGTTGCGATAATGATCCGTCACTCGTGCTCTAAGATGCTCCATATGTTTAAGTGTTTGTAATTATCCAGAGTTATCAGCAATGCACTGAAATGTTCCCAGTGCTGCAGATGTTTGGGAAGAGCTGTATTGTGTGATAAACTAGTCTTTATTTTGGCAGTCTCTGGATTGGATGTTTTTTGACATTTTCAGGCATGAAAAGTAATTGGTATTAACAGAAGTATAAGTTGGAGTTTAGGGCCAAAACTTGTCACATAGGAATTCTAAAAGCAGAAATGGAATTATCACTTTTTGAAGGACCGAAAAGGGGGTTCAATGCTAAAGACTGAAATTCATGAATGCAACAGTTTAAAGAAAAACCCTAAAGTTAGATTTGAACAGTAAACTCTATATCATTTTCAGTGTAGACACTCCTGAAACACGTTGAAAACCGCTAGACGGCCAACCAAAGGGAATAATTTAGTTTAGAACATGCCAGAAATGTTGCTATTTTTATTATTATTCCTCAGTTAAGTTTCAGATCAAGTTTAAGTCTAAAAAGAAAATTTTACATTGCACTTGAATAATGGCAGTTTAGATTTGATGGTGATTAATCTTGCAGTCCTACCGTGCATGTTGCAAAGTAAGCTTCCTCAACCACTCATTGTTGTAAGCTATTGTCGATCTTATTCATGAATACTGTAATTTGAGGACTACATTAATTTGGCTGTCATTTCCTTTGCATCAAGTTTAACCATAAGTTTTCTACCAAATCTTCTAAAGAACGCATTTTATAATGTGAACGTCTTCTCACATACAAAATTACAATGCTGAAATTGCTGACTGAAATTGCTGGACTGACGATTCCTGACATCCCCCATAGTATTTGGCAAAATATAGAAGAAGCCAATTTGAACATAAGCTAGTTGAAGTCGTTTTCCTCGGGATTTCCTGGGGACTTTCTTCCAATGGCGTTAGCTTTGGCTCGTAACGGGGCTGGATATTCTGTTGCAGATGAAGGCAACTGATTGGTCGACCTTTTATATGGATGGATCATATCTGAATATTAAGCCCATAATGGTTTGTGTGTGACACCAACTGTTACATTGAAAAATAAAAAAAGAAACTCTGTAAGTCTATAGGAGCCAAAGTGAGTTGGAGCAGTACTCACTCTGAACACTTTCCTAAGGGCTTCGCTGAGCTTGGGGATTAGGATTGTTCACCAATTTACAGTCTATGGCTGTAGCTAACGCACTTTGAGATGCCATAAAGAGCCAGGAGAACATCGGTGTAAGTCGGCCGTCTCATTTCTGATGTAAATAATAGATGTAATGACTTGCTCAAACCTTCCTCTAGTGTCCTCTTTGCCAACTAGTTTTTACCCTTTTTATTTTTGTGTTGTTGTCGTCAGATGAAAACATGTTGACCATTACTTGTCTCACATTGTTGTACATGGCACTCTGATGTTTTGTCTTCACCCGATGCCCCTCTCCTCCATTAACAACTCGTGATTGTGAATTCCTGGGGGGACTAATTAGTAAGAAGAATAGCCTTTTGGGGCCCACTGTTAGTTATGGAACTGAACCTTAATAGACCCATTTTTTGTGTGCACTCATTACAATGCTGTGAAGCCCGTTCTACCTTCTGCCATGTGAAGTCTGTGTAGTTGATAAAAGGGTGAGACTCTGAATTCTTGAAACTGCACACTATTTTTTTTTCCTCTGCCTTGCACTTGATTCATTTTTTTTTTTTTTTTTTACCGGAGTCAAATAAAGCAATGATTTATACATTGAATCTCAGTTTTGGAAATTTAGTATTATTCATATGGCACAAAAATATATATCCATTTAAAATGGTCAGACTTTCATGACTTTTACCTGATCTAACAAACTATTCATTTTGTTTTGGAGCATGAATTGTTTTTATTCTTCTCAGGAAGTAACCGGAAAAATCTTTGACTGTCGTGACTTTCGAGCATCCTTGGAAAATGGTGTTCTTCTTTGCGAGTAAGTTACTGATCTAATTCAATAGGTAATTTTACATTTTTGAAATGACCCAATTGTGAAGGCTAATGTTGTTAAATTGTTATTAATAGTGTGATCAACAAGTTAAAACCTGGCATCATAAAACGGGTGAATAGACTGTCGACCCCAATTGCAGGATTGGTAAGTCTTGTACATATAATGTATACTGTATTATAAATATTGTGAAACCACAGCTGCACCTGAGAGCCAGGAAGCCTTCTGCTTTGTGGTGGTTTCCTGTCTGGCACACAGACTGAGTGGCAACAATCAGATGAACTGTATGTGGGGCAATAGTCTTGTTGCAGGGTTGTTTAAAAGCTGCTGTGTGCAAAGGACTTCAATACTAATGAAGCTTAAAGGTGTATAGAAGGGTTTTCCTAAATTTGGGAAAGAACCTCCCTCTCCACTTTTTGAACCAAACGTCCTATTTGACAAGCACGTATCACCAGAATGATTGACAATTGGGAGGACCAATAGTCTTGATGATCCACCCTGAAGTAGGGGTGGGCGATAAGGGGGGAAATTAAATGTGTGTGTGTGTGTGTATATAATATATATATAATATATATATATCACAATTTTTTTTTTTTTTTACTCCTGATAAACAATATTGTCACACCGTCTTTAAAATCAAATTTTTACACACCAGTGATCTGCAACGTTTTGCTTGCCACTGCATCTAGATGGAGACGGTGTAGATCAAAGTAGCAGATTTTTATTTGTAAAGTGCTTCACACATCTTGGCAAAACATGCACAAACATATGTCAACATTAAACTTGGACATTAAACATTAATCAAATTCAAGTAACGCAGGAAGAACGGGACAAATAAAGCGGTGATTGGCTTTTTAGGCTCACATTTGACGAATAAGCATCTTGCTCTAATTGTAATGTATGTATTGGAGATGCGTGTAAAAAAAAAAATTAAAAAAAATGAAATAATAAAAGACAATAATGGTAAAGGGCATATCTTCAAATTCACTTTCACAATATATATCGCCCACCCCTATCCTGAAGTAGAAAATCCTCATATACCTTATACTTTTTTCTATGTCATATGCCACTTCTGTATGACTGAGGCTCAGGTCAGCAGAATAACTGGACATGTTCTTGTGTCTACACATTGTAATCTTTACAGAGGGTTAGATGCAGAGCGCTCAAACCCAGGGTGTGATTCTCTGTACTTTCCCTGTCGCTGCATCTTCTGAACAGACTGATTTTTGTGTGTGTGTGTGTGTGCTCTGCAGGATAATGTCAGTGTGTTCCTGAAAGCCTGTGGAAAACTGGGCCTGAATGAGTCCCAGCTCTTCCACCCTGGAGACTTGCAGGACATGTCCTCACGTGTCACACTTAGGTACTTCCCTTTTCTACTGTTTTTAATGTACATCTACAGTAGACCTCCACCATCTCCTGCCTTTTGTAGTCGTTGGTCAGTTATTTGGTTTTGATTTCATTATTATGCCTGCTTCCACACACCTGGTACTGGCACTGCACTATAATTGTTCAGTGAGATGACATATTTTTGACAGATGATTATATTTGTATGTATTAAACCATTTCTTGAACATTGGATCAATGATATCCATACTCATCAAAGTATTTTTGAGTCGGATCAAGATTGATTTTGTCTTCTGTAGGAGAAATTTGGTTTAGACCGAATGGCACCACCACTCTTGCTATACAGTTCTCACCAAAATACACAATACCTCATGTCCTTTATTTAACAGATTCGCTGAAACTGGGATAAATGAGTTCTTAAAACGATTGAGTTGGCACCGTGACACTCTGTACCTCAGGGTTCAATAGTTCATATTCACGGAAAAGTACATGTGTAGGATCGGAGAGGGTGCCCCTGGTCGGTCTCCTCATGGCCTGCACATTGAGCTCCTGAGGGCCAAGAGGGACATGCTTGCCCATGATTTTCCCACAAGTTCAGTAGTTTTTTTGGTAATCCCAGCTGGTTTGATGGATTCTGCTGCACCTACATGTGTGCTCCAGTTCAGCTCTGAGTCTATGTGGACTCCCAGACATTTAAAGAAGCTCACCTGCTTAATCTCCCGGCCGTGGATGGTTCATCACAATTTCCCTCGTGTTTTCTGTAGAAATTCCCTCTCCTCAACAGGAGTGGGATGTGGACTGAGGTTGTGGCATAAATCTCGCAAAACATTAACAGTTAACATTATAACTACATTTTCATGTCATAAAACGTGTAAGGTTTATTTGTAGTATGCAAATGATAAAATGCAGAAAGTGTTTCCCAATTAAAAGTGTACCTATTTATATACATTTAATTTTTTTTTCTTCAATGGGGGTCATAGGGAATCTCAGCCCGGCCTAGAGGATGCATATGACATACTGTATGTGAACAATATTGTAAAACTCTACCAGCAGTATTCAGGTCATTGGGATAGTTATTTATCTACTCAAATGGTGAGTGTCCAGCAGTGGTTTTTCCCTTTTTAAAGTTATCTCAAATAACTTTAAAAAAAATTATTTTGCCAATTGCACATAAGAAAAAAATAAAATAAATATTGATCAAAACTGCCTAACCAACCAATCACAACAATTAAATTAGTCAAATGGAGAATGTCCTAAGATTCCATTTTCTCAAATATCAATAAAATATATTGGTTGACATGTTTTGCATGGTCAAAGCTAAATAGACATTACATGCTCGTGTATTTATTTCAATAATTTTGCCAACATGTAAATAAATGTTTCAAGGACTCGCACTAGATAATGACTGCCAGAGCTGCTTTGCATTTATGAATCTATGAGCCTTGCATGCCATAACTCAGCATTTCACATCCTGATGGCCTCAACTCGAGATCACATAAAGCTGTTTGAGTGCTTTAACCTACACATGGCCCCGCGAGTGCAAGAAGCCATTACGAGATAAGTGTTTCAAGTTTGTTCACAAATAAATGTTGTAGGAGTGTTGCCTTGGACCAACTGCATCCTATTTGTAATGACTGTTCACTCCTTTTACAGATGGGACGAGAGCAGAAGAAGACTCAAAAATGTGAGTATCGAACTGAGCACCTTTTAATATCCCCGGCTGATAATCTTATAGTTTGCAGGTTCAGTCCCGGTGGTCAATATTTTGAACATTTATAATACAAACGTTATACTGATTTATATTTTTTTTAGTAATTCAAATTTATTTACAAAGCACCGTTCATAGTGTGTAACCCAACATGCTTCACAAGCCAAACTTGAAAAGAAATAGACAATACAATATTAAAATGGTGCAACTGCATTTGCTATGTATTTTATTTAAAAATGTTGTAAAAATGATCAATTTGAAAACCGTTTTCAACCTGGATTTAAACATTGCAAGTTTTGTGGTTTGTCCAAAAAATTTAAACTGTTACAGATTTTAACTGCATGAATCTGAAGTGACATCCCATGTTTAGTTCTGACTCTGGGCACCAGTAGGCCAGTCTCTGCCCTCCCCAAATCAAGCATGTTTTTTTTTGTTTTTTTTTAAAGCCATATTTTGTATTTTATTATGCACATATGAGGCTTGATAAAACAGGTCCTCACTCAGTATATCATATGGGCAAAGACCTGTTATATAGACTTTGAGTACAATGGAATGGATTCTTCAATTGTTGCTCATTGTGGCAATGAAGTTTTGTGAAGCGTTGGCTTCACATGTAGGGGACATGTGAGAACATGTGCATGCCTGTATGCACTCGGGGTATGCCCACTGCTCAGGAGGTTATTTGGGGAGCTTCACTTGTATTGCACTAGTAATGAGACTTGGCAGAACTGCCTCTCCACTGGAATGTGGTGTATAATTTATGTAAGATTCAACTGGTATCTGTTAATTAAACTCTGCCTTTAAACTTTTGTGATTTATGAATATTGTATACATTACCAGGCAGCGTTATCTTTGTCATTCTTCCCTGTGTTGGGATGGCAAAGGCTGCTGGTTTAATTTGATTTGATATTAACACTTTTATAAAATGTTCAATGATTAAAATTTAAATGTTGCCTTTTAGAGTCCGGATAAGAACAACAAAGTACAATGACATTAGTCCAGTCCTCAGGTCTCTCTACTGGCTTCCTCTGGCTCAGAAAAGTCTCTCCATGGCCTCGCACCAAACTACATCTGTAACATGTTAATGCCATATGAACCGGCTCGGATTCTGAGGAGCACAGGGACTGGCCTCCTGCAGGTGCCTAGTGTCAGGACTAAACATGGTGAGGCAGCTTTTCAGATTTATGCTGCTCCAATCTGGAAGTGTCTTCCTGAAAATGTGAGACCGGCTTTTACTTTAACAATGTTAAAATCCAGGTGGTTCTGTTTGGCTGTGCATACAACTCGAGGATTAATCTTCACTATTTTAGAATGTATTTTTATTTTAATGCCTTGTGCAACTGTCTTTTTTTAAGCACTTTGAGATGCCTTGTGTAGGAACTCTGCTGCACAAATAAAACTTGCCATGCATTTTTAGGTGCTAATAACTATCTACTGGCTGGGCAGAAAGGCTAATCAGGACCGGTTTTACGAAGGACCCCAGCTGCACTTAAAGTCTTTTGAAGGACTGCTTGGACTCGCCTTATCCAGGGTAGACTTTACCACACTGGGATTAAGTTGGGAATATCAATTAACTTGCTTTTTGATATTCAGGCCTTGGGTGACACTGCACAATTTCACTACCAGGACAAGGAGATCCAGCGGACGAGACAAAGCTACAAGAGGCACTGCTCAGTGGACAGCGCACACTCTCCAGAAAACAAGGCTACTCCCACCAACAGTGAAGGTTTAAAATCCTTTATTACCCCCACAGTGGGGACATTTCAGTAGGTCTGTGTCTTATCATTTAAGTCAGCAAAAGTTGACTGATATATCTTCCTCAGACATCACATCTCTCGAGCTGTTAAACACATTGTCTCTAAATTAGGCTTTCTGTTGTCAACTCACAAAGCTTATAACTGGCTCTTAGTCGTTATCCTCACATTCACCAGTAGAAGGCGATGCTTGTCTTGTTTTGCCCTTAAGACTGTAGAAGAGAACAAGGCAATACAAATTAGACAATTTCCCACTATCATAATTTGCATCTGAGCTTGACTATTCAAAAACGCGACACTTCAACTTCAAACTTCACCAAATCATATCTTCTCTCAGCAGAAGGAAAATAACACAAGATTCGAGAGGCTGTTAACTTTTAAAAAGTAACTTTTCTTGTTACTACTTTTGTAAAGGACCTCTGCTCATGACTTTTTTTTTTCTTTTTTAAGTAACCTTTATCTTTACTTCACGAAACACTCTACTACTTTACTCTTACTAAACAAAGTAACTTCTTCACTTTTTGCATTACTTTATTACTGTTATTATGCTCGACTTTGAGCAGACTGTTCTTAAATGTGTTGTGGAAGTTCTATGTCATGATTTGTTATGATCTTCAGAGATCCAATGTTATTGACTGTGCCACTCAGGAGAGCTCATGTATCCCATTCACGCAGCCATTCGTTAAACTCATGGATACAAACATTTCTTCCATAAATTGTTTGCTGAAGGATAAGACCGCTCTTCCTCTCCTTAAAGATCTTTTCTCAAGAGGGCCACTTGTTGCTGTCGGACAGAGCGAGTAAAGCTGCTTTTGCTTATTTTATTGTGTCATTTGTCTGGACTGTCATCTCTGGACTCGTGGATGTCTGTGATAAATCGATATGGGGGAGATACGTTTGTGTGTTGGGAGAGGCACAGATGCTTTGCACAAATTTCCCCCTAGGCTTGGCTGCACAGACTCTCGAGGGAGTAAAAATGTTTTCCATTTGTTGTGTTAAATTGATGGCCCCTTTTCCGGATGATTTTGTAACTTTTTACAACTTCATCCGAAATGGCTTGCATGTTTGGCACAGCATAATGTTGACGACAATTTCCCTTCGTGATTTGACTCATTACTAGCACAAGCACTCGCCACTGTCGCTGTGGTTGGCGCTTGTTAGCTAAAGGGTCCTGGATTTGATTCCACCTCGCTTTTCTGTGTAGTTTGCATGTTCTGCATAGGTTTTCTCCGGGTGCTCCTGTTTCCTCTGGGTGCTCCTGTTTCCTCTAACACCAAAGACATCTACAATCACACACACACACCCTGAATAATTGTATGACAAATTGGCACAATCCAGAAATGTTTGGTCATTAACATGCACTATCCCAACCAAATAAACAATAAAGTAGGGTTTTTGACTTTGGCTCCAATACCAGTTTTAATGATTGTTAAATGATTTAAGAAATTGCTTGTTATTGTAAATCTATCTGCTTGTATAAACTTGTAGTTTCTTGTTTCTTGTTTAATGTAGTGTTTTCTCACCTCTAGGCTGTAGCAGTGATGCAGAGGCTGAGCAGGTTTTTAAGATGGAGACGTCTCACATTTCAGCTCCCTCAAACAGGAGTCGTTTACCTGCTCCTCTGCAGAAGGCCAAGCAAGCACGAGCAGAGAAGAGCTGCACCAGCCCTTCGTCCACTTTGTCCAGGTACCGCTCAAGCAAATAATTTCCAAGCTCTCCCTGCAAATGCTGCTTTTGAATTATTGTGACAGCAGATTTCAAAGTACAGAGAGTGTAGCTAGATTTGTATCAGTTTAAAAATATCTGTACAATTGTGCATAAAATCATATTATTAATGCTTTATTTTTTGGGGGGGAGGGGAAATTCGAACTCTTCACATGTCATTATTCTTTCACTCCATACAGAGTGGTGATAAAATACTGCTTTAGCCACAGCTACCCTGGGTCACACTGACAGAAGTGAAACAACCAGTATGTTGGTGGTTGGAGTACCACCAAGCATTCACGCACACACCAGACTTTTATGGGGGTGAATGTCTTGCACAAGGACACAATAGTTTACAGCCGCCCCACTCTGGCACCTGGGGTTCTCGGAAGTTCCCCGTCACAGTTCTAACCAGGCCCTGCCCTGCTTAGCCTCAGGGGTCTAACAGGATTTGGCTTTCACATGTAGGTAGTGCCACACTTGTCATAAATAATGCAAATCATTATAACAGTATCAAATGGGAACTGTTTAAAAGCAGTAACATTTATTAATCATTCAACTGTCCTTGTATCTTATTATTATAAGGTCTGTATACACTTACTTAATTGGCAAATAACGTATACAAATTGGATACATGCTTGTCAAGTGTAGAGTGAAAATGTGCTTCCATATCAATAATTGGTGGCAGTTACAAACTGGAAAGGGAGAGGATGTTGTGCAGAGTTGACTGCTTGAGTTTCTCTGGATGTCGGGCACTAAAGATTTCGAGCACAAATCTATTCAAAAGGAAGAGCAGTTCTATGAATCTCAAAAATGATAAAGTACTTTTCATCCTAAAACATAATCATAATATATTTTTTTTTTTTCTTTTTGGAGAAGGTTGGAATGGGATCTGTATTTTTGGAACTTTGTAAAATCCTTTATCTAGAAAGGCGCTTGTGTGACTCGTGATGGGAGTGAATCTAATTTCATGGACATTAATTGGGGCACAAGAGTTTGTTCTATGAAGCTTTCTATTAACAGCTTTAAAAGTCTCAGCTTCTACTGTAGTTATGTTCAGATTTCCTCATATAGACTCATTCAGACAGCTGTTGTGAACCAGGCTTTCCTATCCCCAATAATTACTTCCAGATCATTGTATTTCTTGTGTAGACCAGGCCACATTGAGATTATTCAAGAGAGGGCAGTCGAGGTGAATCCTGGCTGGATTTGGTAAGTTTCAGATGAGACTGAGCCGATAAACTTCTGTTGTTGTTGCTGGCTTTGCTTCAGCTACTTTTTGCTGCCATTTCCTTTTGGATTTATACACCATAGCTTCTATCATTAATAATCCCTGTGGAAACTTGACAGGAGATTTCAACGACAGATGACAGAAATGTTTGTGATCACAGACTCGTTCTTGTCGTCAAATAATGTCACTGTTTTGATAAAGCACCTGATAAATGTTGGCGTAATTTATTAGAATGTCATTCGTGACAGCCTCCATTGCCCAGAGCGGGGCTATTACTTCTTACAAGCTTTGGCTGATGTGTTATAGACAGCTACATCTGTTAGCAATTTACACCGTGTTGCTTGTCTTGCATTCTGTCTTTGCTCACTGCTGGCCTGCGGTTCTGCGGCTGTGATATTTATTTTTCTCAAGCTTTTTGTGTTTTATATGCTGCTGTGTAACTGTAGCAATGTTCTGTTTTTTTTTTTTTTTTTTTGCATGTTTTGATAAGTCAGTTTTTTGGAGTATACTTTTTATTTTTATTTTTGTTACCAGGAGCAAGTCCCTCACAGATATCCCCATGGTCTACCCTGTGCGGAACTCTCCAGAGGAAACCACTATTTTAGACGAGACTAAAGATTCTGGCACAATTCTATTCAAAAGGAAGAGCAGTTCTATGAAGGACACTGAAGCCCAATGGCATGAGGTGAGTGAGACGAGCTACAAGACTTTATATATATCATCATATTACCATCTTTCTTATTTCATTGGATGTTGAATGGGTTTATGGGCCTCGTGACTGTTGCTTCAGGACTTAAACAAGTGGAAAAGCCGTCGCAGAAGCAGCAAGACCGAGGGTTACAGCACGTCTCAGGACCGAGAGCATGTCATACACCAGATGACCATTGATGCCAAAGCGGCTTTTCAGAAAACTACTGCTCAAGGACCAATGAAAAGGTGAGACCATGTCATTGCCATGGGGTAAAGCAAATCCTTAAAACAAAATCCATATCACACTGAATCAAACTTTAACAGAGTACCAAACCACTGAAAACAAAAGTCAATGTTTTTACATTTTACGTTAACCAATGTTTGTAAGAAATTTATTAACACATTGCAGCACTTTATATATTTGTCCTCAGCATTTGACCCATCCTGTATGTCCCTAAGGCAATATGAGATGTTGCTGCTCTATATGGTCATGACTCCGAGCTGGAGGATTTGACCTATTATACATGATTTTAGTTGTAGAGGAATCCGTAGCACCCAGAGGAAACCTGTGCAGACGGTGTGATCTTACCTTTTGTTTCTTGTTTCACTTGTGTCCATTCACCAGAGAACAGCCGGATCATCTCTGCCACATTCCAGGATCCCATCCCTACTCTCCCACCTCTCCCACAAAGCCCTCCAGGTCTAACCATCGACCGCACACTCGGGCAATGCTGACCCGAAGCTACGCCACAGAGTCTCCTCCTTATTGTTCTCGGATGACTGCAAACATTCAGGTGAGTTATGGAACAATTGCGTCATATTGTTGGATACAAACAAACATGCATTTACATGTTATGAAAGTGAGCACAGAATACAGAGTTCACATCTGAGATAATTTATCTTGTCATGTAACGTGTATCTGATCTTTTGTTTCAGTGGCCATCAGCTGGAGCTACGCTTGAAACTAATTTAACGACCTTGGACAAGCAGATGGTTTCTCTGGCTTCTGTGGGAACAGCAGTCACCACACCTTCAGTGGACCATCCGTTCAGCTCGCAGACGCATGCCAGAAGTGTCACATTAATGTCCCACAACATGACAGGAGAAAATGGTTTACACTCCTCTGCTCTTACGAAGGAAAATGCAAACTTGAATGCTGCTGCTGACGAGCTCACATCAGAAAACCACGCAGACATTGACACAGCCTCGACAACAAGCCATAGTGGGAAGCAGGAGCTGAACATGGAACCAATCAACAGCCAGCATCTCGAGGCCCTCCTTTCTCGTTCTTGTACATGGTCCGGTTCTGCCAGTCTTCCTCGCGGATATCGCCGATCCGAGGGCACGAGCCGCCTTTCCTCTGTGATTTCAGCCAAACCTTTTGGTACCAAACCCACCAGAGTATCCTCGCTCCCCAAACTCTGTCATGTGAGTAAAGCAGGCTGCCTTTCCTTAGGCAACCACAGGATGTCAGTGTTGGAAAACAGCAGAATAGAACTTTAGCTCTTTTTGGCTTGCAGAAAATAAAGCGCATGCAAAAACCCACTGCCTAACGTATAGTATACCCACTGATATAAATATCACATGAATGGTCAAAATAACTGAAAAGAAAACGTGACAAGTTTGGACTTCTGTGCTTGTTTGACTTTGCAATGTTGATTACGTGATATAGAAAATCATTCTCATCGAAGGTTGGTGGTTTCAACTAGTGGTATGCCATGTGAGTTTTAAAAGTAAAGGGTTTACCACAGCTCAAAACAGTTGAACAATAGTTTAAATACAATAAATGTGATTCTCTCCCTCAGGTTTAGGATCACACATGAATTCCATGGATTGATTCTTGATTTACATAAGAATTCTTGATTTACAACACAATTTAGTGGAATATCATTTCAATAAATTTTGCGTCGAGAAAGGGAGGGAACAATTAAAATGCAAAGAAAATTCCATATAAGACATATCCCTGTGTCCATGGAGTGTATCCGGACTGTTTTTAAAGCTTTAAACATGTTGAAAATTACGACCTGGTGATTTTATTTTATGGACTCCAGACATGAAAAGCCTGACTAAACTGAAGTTGATGCTTAAAAGGTGCACTGGGATTTGTATTTGTGTGTTTTATACACAGTAGCTCAGGTTCTTTGTTTGCTTATACCACCAACAATAATTATAGATGGGAAACTACTCCCATTGTAAGATGCTTTTGTCTTTTGTTAAATAGTGTTTTTTGGATTTCTTACATGATTCTATTCAAAGAGTGTTTTTTACAGTCTTATGTGAATATTCCAGGTAGATGACAGTCAGATGACATGGCTGGCCTTTGACGATAAAGAAGTCTCTCCACCTGTCACTTTGAAGAACAGGCAGATGGTGGCCCATCTCAAAGGCCACGCTCCAGTCATGCAGAGAGAGCACAGTGCAGAACAGAAGAACTGTGCCATTCAGCCCCAGCCGCCCATCCAGGCCCTGCCCCAGCCTCAGTTCTGCGCAACCTATGTACCTGAACACGGCTCAGAACTGAAGGAGTCCAGTCTACCAAAGAATGTATGTGGTTTGTTTCAGGTCATAACCTTAACAAAAAGCCAAATGAATTTAACGTTGACCTGATGAAGATGATTTGTTGTTATTTTCATCTAGTCTAGTGCCCCCAGGGTGTCGTCAGGACCATTGGTCAGCGTAGTTCACTGGGGACCCATCTCAATGTGTTGATGCTCGGCTTAGTCAGGATACCAGAGCTGGAGTATTTTTACCTGTTGTACTTGCTTTTAGGACAGGAATTCTGATGGACTGATGGTATTAGAGCCATTGTGTCAACTGTTAAATGGGTTAGAATGGATCAAAAATGAGATGAAGGACATGGGAACAATTGCAGACACAGATGTCTGAGGCAAAGACTGGGAAGACCTAACCCCCTTTTTTTTAATAAAATGTTTCATTCATAACTGTCAAATGGATGCACTCCCACATGGGTTAATAATGTTAATCACATTGAAATGCACCTGATGTTTGAATGCCACAAATATGCTAGTGTAACAGTGATCCTCTTTGTAGTCGTGCGATTGGGTGATAGTAGTGTTTTGTAAAAGTAGATTCTGACAAGTATTTTCGCAAAATGCACAACAATGACAAAGCTGGTATTGCTTGGGAAACTATTGTATCCTGTCAGCTCCCTTGTGGAGACAATATAAAAAGGCAGTTTTCACTGGGCTCTTGTACAGTGAAGTTATTACATTGTTTTTTTGGCATGTTATATAAATGGATTTATGTTTACTTAATCCAATTCAAGATTGGATTAAGTTACTTCACACAGATCCTCGTGGTCTGCCTCTGAGGCCCCCACTGTACCCCACTATAGATCACAGCAGTGTTTTCATAAACTGTATACTGCAGAAGCATGCAATATGAATCTGACCTCAGGGGGAATGGTATTTTACTTGTTAGTTTGGTTATGTTGATTATTAGGCTTGAGGTCCTTGTACAAGATCATCTTTCAAAATACTCGGAGGTTCTATTCTACTGCTATAATTCCCATTGTACACAGGTCCCAGTCTGCCTCTTTATTGAAAGTGTAGATGTTGTAGCGGACTGTGGTATCGTTTCCACAGGAAGCAGCTCTGGTTTCTCTAACAGGTGCATCTGTTTCAGGTGGATCACAGTGACATGAGGGTTTGCCTTACGCTCCGACCCAACAGCAGACAAGACTTTGGATTCCAGGCACACTGGGACAGCACAGGGGCCAGGGTAAAATCCATTCACCCAGGTAAGTTTTAGCTGGATGGATGGAATAGATACATAGATAAATATACTGATTCAAACCCAGTGTGAAAGTTTCCTCCGGGAGCTCGGGACTTGCGGACCTGGGTGAATTGGTGTATTGCCAGTGTCCCTTATGAAAATATTTCCCTTGTTTTATAGTGGATGATTTGGATAGTTTTAGAAATGGAATGAAATTGGTTTTGAAATAAAATGTTTCAGTAACTGGTTGTTATGAGGTGAAATGGGGCGGTAAGACGGAAAGAAAGAAAAGCAGTGTCCATTCTAACAGAGGAGCTCATTATACAGATTGACGGGAAAAGGGCAATGTGTCACTGTGCCAAATAAAAACTATCGTCCATTTACACAATGAGCTATTTTATTCCCTGCAGTCGTACTGTTTAAAGTGCTCCATGGTTACACACCTAACGAGTACAACTCAAGAATATCAGAACTAATGCATTATTTAAAAAAACCAAAGGAATTGTGCTTTTCTTGCAAGATTTGTTTGATTTAAATTACATTACATTTTTTTGTTTTTTTTTTTCATTAATTTCACAGGAAGCCCTGCAGAGCTTTGCCATCTTCGCATCAATGATGAGATTCTTGCAGTGGATGGAGTAACTGTGAAACAACTGAATTTCAACCAGTGGAAAAATAAAATGACCTCAGCCTTACAGAGCGGCACTTTAACCATGGACATCAGACGCTTGGGTAACAGAGGTAAGATGACCCTCGAACAACTCTCGCTCCAGCTGCTGTGTGTTAGTGGGATCTGACTTCATACCAGTCATGGATTTTAATATTCATGAATCTCTAAATGTAGAGAAGAAAGATATAGAAAAGCAGAGAAAGATTTAAATCAGGGGTGTTCATATAAGGAACAGTTTATGGACAAAACGCAGAGGGGTGAACAAAAACAAGGGAGGGAGGAAATGAACGTGATGCAGAACTGCTTAACCAGGACAGGGCAACAAAATTAATCACAATAGATATTCAAGAAATAAAAATATTTACTTCAAACAAGTGAGTCTTCTAGTTTACTCAATCCGTTTGAAGGATATGTCACTGAACATCTTTTTAATATAGAACGTGATTTGTGAAATTTGGAATCGGGTGCAGGCGTTGTAAATGCATGGGCTTGATTTTAAGATCTAATTGTGACAACGTATTTCACAATCTTAGAAAGTGGTGAAGAAAGGGCGAACAATAAACTGAGCTCTGTGCACAGTCCTTGGTTTCAAAACTGGACAAATAAAAGTTTACTGGATATGTAAACCTTTTCTGTTTTCAGTTTTTGCTTTTGGTCCCAGTTTTATCTGGATCTAATTGCATAAATGCTCTTTATCTAGTTGCTGTTAAAACTGCGAGGGGAGGGGGAGCCATAAATCTGCCCAACTGATCAGACGGCGCTAACAGACCTCTTAATACTGCAAGAGGACTCATACAAATGCTCAATTTTGGCCTTTTCAAAGGTAGATCAAATATTAAAGGAAAAGTTAATAAAACGCATGACGTTTTCTGGTCGGTGTTCTGGAGTAAATCAATCAGGGTTTTGCAAAATGTATTATTGCAATACATTCCTGTGTCTTTTTTTTATTTTCACCATGTGTTCTTGGTTGTATATTTTGCAGCTCTTGCGGTCTACAACCTAAGCATTTTTCTGAAAGTTCCTTGTCTGTACTTGGACATGGAGTTGCCCCAGGGCTGATGATTGTTATTTCCATCAGATTGGAGCATCAGTGAGGCCAGTCTTTACAAACAGCCAGGCCAGAACAGGACAACCCTCGATTTGACCTCCTCTGCGCCCCTTTTGATTGGCCGGACCGATCACCATGCCAACACTGACACCACAGTAATGGCCCTGTCCAAATTTAATGGGGAGCCCAACAATGTGAGCAATATTTGGACTCTAACCAAAACAAATGGCTGTAACGCACCCTTGCCTCAGTTGTTGCTGTCTATTGGGTGAATTCTGTTTTTCTTGCACCTGCCTAGGTAAGTTTCTGTCAGAATCTGGGTGGAGAACATACTGACAACCCAAGAAGTGCCACAAAAAAAGGTAACTGGTTGGCCAAAAGAAATACACAGTGGGTGTGAACCCTTTGGTGCTCCAGTTTCCATGATTAATCACTATTCCCTTTCTTAAAGATTATAATAATGTATTTAGGAAAGATCAGAGCAGGGCAGCATTTTTCAGACGGAGAGGTATAGTAATGAATCTGCTTTGGCTGGAATTGCTTTGCTCAAACATCTATTTATGGTTGATGATTTAATTAATTGCAATTTAATCAAAATCAGAGTTTTGGTGGTTGAAATTGGCACATCAGGACTGCAATTATTTAATTTCTAACTAATGCTCTCATTCAAAAATTCTTTCTTTCGTCAGGCTGATCTATAAGTTTCTCCTATACATAGATTTTCCAAAGGAGACTGCTGTTACCCAACTCGGTGTGTGCCTAGAATGTTTTCTTAAATCAAGCATATTTATTCTACAAGGTGTAATTTATGAAGTGATGATCTCATACACACATTCTAAAATATAACTGTTTAAGTAATGATTTCTCAAAAATGGAATTGCGCAAATGGGTTTAGAAAGACTTTAAATTGGGTGTGGTGGGTCACAGGCTTCCCCTGTTGCATTTGCGCAATTTAATCCAAAAGGTGTCAACTTTGCCGCCTTTTCATAACTTTTCAACTTAAATCACACTATACGACTGTTGACTGGTTCTACTTTTTGAAGACTATATTATGAGCACTTTCTGACCACTGATGGAGTTGTTGTGGGATTGCACATACCACATCCCTTGGTGTTTGAAGTGCCCCCCTGTGGTGGCTGCCGGTGGGACTTCCTCTGAACTGTGTCTTGTCTCTGGGCTCCGCAGGCTTCAGCTCATGGGTGTACTTGTGCGGTAAATGTTTGCACTGTGTGAGGTGTGTTGTCTTCATTTAAAAGAGGCTGTTTGTGTGCTGCATCACAAACAGCTGAACAAAGCAGATCTGTCTTTGTCTCACACTGTGAAACTGCTTTTTTCTGACTCGATGGCATGCTCAAGGTCTTGCTTCAATGCCATTCTGGTGCCATTTCTTCAAGCTGGGTACATATTAGAAGAATGTTTTGCTCATTTGCACAATTATAATTGGAATAGTAGGTCACTTTAGTTCTTTCCCAAAACAAGACTAGACTGAAACATTTGTTTTTAGAACTTCATCATCCCATGTCCTTATCAAATCCCTTTTCTCTTTGACTTTTTATCTGATATGTGGTTCAGGTAAATACCAAACATGTCTCAGTTTTAGACATCAATTAGACTGTCCCCATATACTCAACTATTGTTGAACAGACAAACTTATTTAAGATTATTGAACATTTAAGCTGATTCGATTAAAAGACCTTAACATAGGTCACTCTTTTAAAGACTCTTCTGTGTTCCCTTTGTGGTGGTGTGACAAGTGTGCTGTGTACAGGTCTCTGTAATTTAATATCAAATATGACACATTCAGTGTTATATGCTGAATTTTGATGGCTATGGCTTAGTCAATCTTAAAATCATTAAAATTTTCTGAGATGCTTAATTTGGGTTTTGCTATGAGCCAATTATCCACATTATAACAAAGTGTTATTGTACGTTGAATTACAGAAGATAATTGTCTTTTGAACAGTAGTTAGTTTCACCTGTAGTTTTCAAATTCCTGTATCTTAAGTAATTGTGTTTTCATTACAGGAGGTTCTGAGTCTGCAATCTCAGATGTAAGTTTTTTTGAATGAGTTTTATTTTCATTTTTTTCAAACACAGTCCATTGAACACAAAGTTGTGTGTCTACTCCGCAGCTGCAGGTGCCGTCTCTGAGCCCGTCCTGCGGCAGCTCGTCCTGGGACAGAGAGGAGGAGCGCAGGCGGCAGGAGAAGTGGCAGGAAGAGCAGGAGCGCCTCCTACAGGTCAACCACTGAATCGCAATTGAGAGACTACAAACTCTTAGAAAAGGCTTCAAATATTTATATTGATTCTGTACTTTTTGGGATGTTTGTGTATTTGACAGGAGAAGTACCAGCGGGATCAGGAGCGACTGGAGGCAGAGTGGAGAAAAGCTCAACAAGACGCCACAAGCGAGTTGAAAGTGAGTGTATTGTTGGATAATGTTATTTTAAGACCCACTGTGTTTTTGAGAAGAAAAATATTCCAGCAATAGTTTTAGAGAAATCCTCTGCATATGGTTATTATACTTCAATGTTATTTCCATAACGTTGACGCTTGTGACCTGCCTCCTCCCTAAATTTGGCGTCACTTTCACAAAAGCAGTTGTAATAAAACATTTGTATCTTCCATTATTATTCATGTTTTCTAAATTAAATCTTTTCAAATTTATTTTCCATTTATCATATTGATTTAACTTTGGTTCTGTTTGTAGATATTACTTGGCACAGACAGTACATACTACGTATACATACAATTTGTACAAATTGTTGCTTATTGCTTTTTTTGTGACATAACAATGATTTAGTGACCACCCTGCTGTTTCATGTTACATTTAGTCATGATTATAGTTATTTGCACATGTAAGAGGAAAGAAATTGAAAAAATAACAAAGTCTGTAGATTCAAACATGTTCAATGCATGTTATCTTCTAAATGAAGACTCAAAACACTGAAGATCTAATGACTTGTTTCGTTCCTTAGATGAGCAGTGAAAACCAGCAGATGAACCTGCACGTAAACGGCACGTCCAATAAAACCCACGAAGAGCGGAGGCCCCCCACAGACGCCGGGAAGCGCGCCGAGCCCGGGAGCGCTCCCTGGGATGCTAAAGAAATGCTACAGGAAGCGCCGCGTGATAACTGGTATACTTTTACACAACGGGCTGAAAACAGCACAAACCCATGTGCACCACTTTCATATTCTGAGTGGATTGCTGTGTCGGGCCTCATTGCTGTCGGTGCCTCCTCAGGGCTGACGGCTCCCCTGGCTTTGCTCAGCTCTCTCCTGCACACAGGTCAGATCTGGCTCAGCGCGGTTATTGCATTTTTATACTTCTTCATATACTCTGGCCTTCCTTCCCTAACGCTAGCTTCTGCTCAACATAATTTGTTTTGTAGTATTGCTCTTTCCCCAATCTGTAGATAGGTGTAGAAAGTAGTTTTGTAAATCCAGGCACTTGTCGATAAAAGGACAAGTTGGATAAGAAATCAGTCTCTGTGACCAGTGTTACTTGATTTAAAGTCCCTCACAACCCATATTACATCAGGCATTAATAATAAACATTAAAACCTACTTTTAATAACAAACATTGAGATCACAAGTAATATTAAAAACATACTTTGAGATCATTCAAATAATTCAAAACCTTAACGTTCAAATCATATATGGAATTTAGGTCACAAATGGCTATTATGAGTATTCTTTTTGCATATGATGCGTTTGATGTGTTATGCATAGTTTGGCACCTTGGAAATCAATGGCTGTTTGCACTGACAAAATGGATCTCATTGTTTGTGTGACAATGGATAATGTAATTGTATGAAAAATTGATTCCTGCGCTATAAGAGTTGTCCACTCTGTTTATTGATATGTGCCTGTGCTAGTGTTTGCCGTCTTGGGAACGTATAATGAATAAATGAATCTAATCAATACTAACAGGTCTTCTTCCTCCTCTTTTCTGCTGCAGGGCCATGTCCATGTCCTCACCTGCGCTAACAACCCCCCAGAAACTTGTGAGAGGCAAGTCCAATGCTTCTGTCGGGGTTTTTCTTTTTATTCCCATTTTAATGATCGGAATGTGGAAAATTTCTTCTGCAGGGGACAGTGATCAGAGGACGAGGAAAAGTCAGAGTGTGTCAACGGCTGAGCAAGAGCGGCAGCAGATTCTGCAGGAGATGAAGAAAAGAACTCAGCTCCTCACAGACAACAGCTGGATACGTCAGCGGAGCGCGAGTTTCTACAAAGAGCCCATCATGCCTGGAGTCCCAATCAAGAGGTAGCATTGTGTAGTCAAAGGATTTTTTTATATTTTAATTATGTGTTAAGGGTTAATGTAAAAATAAACGTCTATCTAATGCATAAAGGAAAATCCATTTTCTATCGAACCATCCATTTTCTAATGGCAGTCTAATCAGAGACGCCCAGACTCCCCTATCCACACGCACTTCCTCCAGCGCCCAGCCACTCTGCAGAGGAAGCTCATTTCGACCACTTGTATCCGCGATCTCGTCCTTTCAGTCATTACCCAAAGCTCATGACCATAGGTGAGGGAGGGAACGAAGATTGACCGGTAAATCGAGAGCTTTGCCTTTCGGCTCAGCTCCCTCTTTACCACAACGGTCCGCCTGTCAATCTCACGCTCCATCCTTCCCTCACTCGTGACATAAGTAATTTTTTGAGTGCATTTTTTGTTTCTTGCATGACTAGAATTTGTCCTGGGTAACCTGTTTAGTTCAATAAAAATGTTTTTTGAGATGGAATAAAACTTATCTATTTCCACAGAGAATGTTTTGAACAATGTTTCCAATCTAGAATCATGCAGGAGACATATCTTCATAAAGTTGCATTATCACTTTCTACACAAATTTTCATGCTATGTTTCTGGTCATTGTCAAACATGTATCTTCAGATACGAGTCAATGGACCACCTTGAGAGCTGGCGTCACTCTCCAGTCACGGCCGCCCCTCACTCGCGGCCACAGTCGGCTGCTGCAGGCCTGTGTGGCTCCAGCAGGACGTCCTCGCGCCACAGCACTGGCTCCATGCCGCCGCAGAGAAGCAGGTAGTGTTTTAGTGCAAGTTGATCTTAGTGACATGAGATTGATGTGCATGTGCGCTGGTCAGGACTGAGCCGGGCCCGAGGACATGCTGTGTGTGTGAGGGGCTCCTGGACTCTGGGGCTGCTATGGTCATAGAGGACCTGAGCCTAAACTTTCACCTGTCCTGTTTCCAGGTGAGAGTGTGGATCACTAGTGGATCACTGCGGGGAACTACTGGTGCTGGTGTATATACTGGTGTGTGGACACTGCTTGGTCGTTAGAGGCTTATTGTGGAACGCTCACCTTTGGGGCACTGTGGTGAAGTGGCTTTGTGTCATTAGCACAATGTTGGAAAACAGGAATGTTGCACTTGCCTGAGAAGCGGGCGTTCTTTTCAATACACACATAAAGATGAAGCCGTGCAGCAAGAATCTTTTCATTTTTATAATAAATGTCACAGATCAGCTACCAGTTCTAATTCTGTGTTAGCGCAGTACTATTGTTATGATCAGTACTGCCCCTGGTGAGACTTGTGGGTCAGATGAAGGTTAAAAAACACACATGAACTGTAAAAGTGGCAAGAGTGTGGAAGAGCTTGGCCCTCCCTCCTGTCCCCATTTCTTGCTTGTCTTTTATATAATGTGCTGTTTAAAACTGAGTACTCACATGGTTCTGCTGGTGTGTGAGCAGTAGAGTACGGTCAACGGTCAGATTCCCTTCCTCCAGACCGTGTTGTTCTTTAACGTTGTTGTTTGTCCAGTGCTTGGGCTGTAGCAGAGATCTCAGAGGAGCAGAGACTGGAGTCAAAGTCCGGATCCACAACCACAGGCCGTACTGTGAGGCCTGCTACGTCCAACTTAAATGTGAGTGTAGGAGCTTTTCTCAGTGTGTTTTGTGCAGAAAATGATGTGTAATTGTGTGTTGCAGGTGCTGACACAGCCTCATGATCCAAACCCAGCTCTGCAAATCACAGAATAATTGGTCTCAACAGTGGCTCAAGAGTTTGACCCCTTCTTACTTTTTTTGGTAGTCTAGATCTTCATTACATAAGTTATTTACATTTTAAATTGTTGTTTTAGTAGGATATATATGTATATAAAATGAATAGCTTTATTTTTATTGCTTATTCTCTGCTGTATTCTTATGTAGCTCATGTCACTGTTTGATTGGGAGCTTTTTGTTTCCAATGACGCCAGTAGTAAACGGCACATCCTCACATACTTAGGTCGACTTATGTGACCCTTAAAGGCACAAATCTTTTGTAATCCGTTTTACTCATCCTGTTTTACCACTGGGTGTCACCAATGGACTCTCTGGAAAGTCTTCCCTCTCTTCAGTGGCTCTTTTTAGTGTTCTAACCATGAACCCCATTGTTTTAGTCATTGATTTTAAAAATTGCATTTCACTCTAAACACTGATCTAAGAGCATTTAAATTGTGTCAAAACGTTTGGAGTTTGTAATTCTCAATGTCAACATTTTAATATATAGTTTACTTAAGTTTTAGAAGTGAAATTTGGTTTGTTTAGTGACTGCACAAATGAAGATAACTGTCCTACAGTCTTCAGCGAATGGTTTTACAAAATGACCACAACTTTTATCTGCTGATAACAGACGCTTCAGTGTTCTTCATGGAGGTCGTCTTTTTATCTTTCCCTAATGCTTTTGATTACTCCTTTAGACGTTTTTGGATAGACTTGCGCCTGCCGCTCTTTCCCTCTGTATTAATAAAGTATTTCTGTCTACTCTCACATGTGTTTCTACTTATTATGTATTACTATTATACATTTGCCTCCTTTCGTCATCAGTTGAGTGTAAGGCCACGTTACCTTTGGCCTGAAGAACTTCTCTGTGCTTCATTTGACCCTGACCCTGACCCAAAAATAACATTTACCAACGGGCTGCTGAGGAGTTGGCAAATCCATTCATGGGACAAGTTATATTTATCATCAGTTACTTAATGAAACATGTCTTTGGGGTGGGCTCCATATCCACTCCAAATGTTTGTAACTTAGATTCAGATTCAGTTTATTTGCAGTAAAACCTCATTGAAATAACTGAGAGAGTGGACTGCAGTGTATAACTCACCAGAGCTCCTGTGACCTGTGTTGCTAAGAGCAGAGTGTGGCATGTTATGAATCTGCATCTAACTTGGAGTACCTAACTCTTCTATCATTAATGCAATTTTGTTTGTCCAAAAAGTTTGGTAAAAATTAAAAAATGTTATATTCATATTGTTATAAAACACTTTGTTTCTGATTGTACAACATGGTTCCAATGTTGGTTAGAAAGTTGGATATGTATTGAACACTGGTGAAGCGGTTTTAGAGCGCATGTTTGTTTGAAGCTCAGATATAGGGAGATTTTTACAGGAAGTAGTGTTGAAATAGAGTTGTCTGAGAGGAAGAGTCATTTCAGTTTGTAGATGAGGAAGTGCCCTGTGAGCGCTGGGCATGTGCAACAGAAATGTCCTGTAATAAATGTACGTTTGTCAAAACAGTTTTAAAACATGCCACGGAGCTTACTCTTCACTTTAGTGCCCTTTAAAGCTGTCAGGGCTTTTCTTCAGCCTCTTGAACCCAGTCTGACACTAGTCTGTTTTAACCTCATGAGAAAAGCTGCAAATATGTGAATGTTATTGCTTTAGAAATACACATGTTTTAAAAACATGTAATAAACATTAACATTTATTCTTCCTAAAGTAAGTTAAAGTGAATTTCCCCAAAGGACCAGTGGTGTATGATGTTCACTTCCTGATGTGCTACATCTGTTTTCAGATGACTCCAGTTTGACCTGTTTCTGTTCTCACAGAGAGGATCAAGGACCTTTCACAAAAAATAAAGCTACTTAAATTCTGCTTTGGAGATCCCACAAGGCTCGAGCAAGTGGAGCGTTCATTTCAACCCTCTTCAGACAAATGTGAAACCAAAAAATTCTAATCATTCATTTATTGACGAATGGAACATTTTAGTCACTCTAAAGGATGGTCATTTTTGTTTTAGACCCAAATCACAGCAGTCATCTCAGAGGATGACTGCTAAAGGACTTAACTAAAGTCGTTAATTTCTCAAAAAAAGATTAGAGAATAAAATGTTTCGAAAACAGGAAATACAATAACCGAAAACACAGGAGCCATTGGCCATAAATGTCCTGGATTCTCAATTTCTTCTTCCTGCCACCCTCCTGCTTTGGAAATGATCGTTGTATCATGGCTGAAGGGAATGCAAGATTGTTCTAAATTGCTAAAGATAATTTTCTTGGGCAGTGAACATCAGGACCTCCCCAAGAATGTTATTTATGGTGCTCGTCCTGGAAACCACCTCATTCCAGCTTCTTGTTTATTGATATGGTTTCATGGGAAAATGTGAAGATGCCCCACAGCAGTTGTTGAATGTACCATTTGTCATGCTCACAGAATACATTATAGTGAGCAGTTTTATTATTAACCATTCACCATTAATGATTATAATAAACTGGAATTGGTTCAGGAAAAGGCTCACTCTAAACTGTACTAATGAGTAACATTTGGTTCAATGACACGGAAAAGTTCCAAAATGTCTGCGGCTGCTACTGCCAAATGACCACACACCCACTTTGGATTTTTTTTGTCAAGTGAAGGGCGCACAACTTAAACACCGATCCGTTCACACCCGTACTACAGACATTGCTTCAGACAGCCGTTTTGGACGTAACAACCAGTGGACTTGATGTGTTACGTCCATCACCAGTGTGTCTGCAGTTATTGATTTTTGTTTGCATATTGTATAACTATAATTGGGGATCGATTGTAGTTATATGTCCAATTATTAGTCATTAAATATTCCTCCTTGTCCTGTTCATTATTCCATTCACAAAGCCACCAATATGACATGTCCTGTATGTAACAACTGTAATGGTTTTGAGCTGGCCATCTGAGATTATCCTACGTATGTCTATAAGCTACAAAGTATTAAAGAATTATGAAACCTTTTTGTCTGAGTTAGACTATCTGTGTGTTAGTGTTATAACAATACTACATTTCAAACTCTACCTTGATACTAGAAAAAAAACCTGATTTTCTTGTAGGATATTTATGAATTGGACAGAAAATAATTTCAATACAAAATAGCACTTTTTATGGTTCCACAAGGTTTCATGCAAGATTTTTGGATTTTGTCATGTATCGTGTATTTAGTCATGTATTTAATATATGTGTATTTAGTCATGTATCATGTATTTAGTCATGTATCGTGTATTTAGTCATGTATTTAGTCATGTATCATGTATTTAGTCATGTATCATGTATTTAGTCATGTATCGTGTAGCAATATTTCCTGATTTAGTCATTTTCTTTAGCTTACTTGCTCGTATTATCGATCAGTATCTGATTTCTGAAGTTGATAAACGATCTGCGTATACTACGGTCGAAACACACACACACTCAGAATATTTATATATGTATATTTACATATTGTCAAAAGCATGCCTACATTCAACTCATGATTTATGATGTGAGTTATCTTTGCGGTTTGAAAGCGGTCTAAGCAGTATAAATGGAGTAGATTCGAGGTTCAGTTTGTCTTTTGCAGTGAAACCACATTGGAATAACTGAAATACATGTTTGTTCACGATTCAAAGTTTTTTGTGTTTCTGTTTGAGTGACACAGGAAGTTGTGTTGATACATCTCATGTCTGCAGCTGTGACAGAGTCCAGAGGCCCCAGACAGACGGACAGACGGAGCACGGGAGCCTGCCAAAGCTCAAGTCTTTATCTCCAAACAGGAGGAAACCTTCCAGGGCTTTCATTTGGCCTAAACAAGAGCCCGCTCTGCCTCTCAAAGTCAGAGTCAGATGTTGGTCATGTTGGAATATGGTTTATTTTTCATTGTGAAAACAATATAGGAGCTAAATTCTTGATTCAGAATTCTCCATTTAAACAGTGTCTGTTTATAATGAAGGTCACTGCAAATGGTTCATTGCCAATGCAACATCTTCAATTCCAAGCATGTAAAGTAGATATAGTGACTCCAGAAAGAACTTACTTAATAAAAGTTACTGGGTTTTATACCAACTGATAATGTAGTTTTGCCAACAATAACAAGCCTGCATAAATAACAAACACAATGGATACACACACACAACAGACATACAGTAGAAGTACAAGGTTGAACGACACAACGGACTAATACCAAAAGTATAAATAAGACAACACACACACACACACACACACACAATCATTTGATTAAAAAGGGTCATTAAAATGTCATTTTTACAGTCGGGCTGTCAGAGCTGGTCCTAAAATAGGTTGTTGATCACCAGTTGCTCCATCCCTTTTGTCGCTACATTTATTTTCCTCACACCTCTTCTTCACAAAGACGCAGCTTAGATTAATTATGTGCTGTTTTATTTTTGAGCATACACACAGTGGGATGTGTTTATTGAAAATTCATAAACTCAAAACCATGACAGACTCGGAGGTCACAGCACGCCTGTGGAAAAAGTGAAAGATTTCGCACTTGGAGGCTGAAATAACAAACGCTGTGATGTCTCCAAATGAGTTCACTTGGATCACGTCTTTGGCCCCCTGCAGCTCCATGTGCGTCTTTGTCCGGTTTGATCACTTACGGATAAAACACAGTCAATCTTTAGATGTGTTTAGCCGATAGAGACTTCACAAAACCAAGTGTGTGAGACGGCTGTGCGGAGGCGAGGGAAGGAAACATGAAAATATCAAACTTGTGATTGTATGAAGTATGTACTGTACATGCAGTAATAACGCCGCAGCCTCGGTCTTCATGAGGGCGAGAGAGGAAGTCACTTTGTCCTGTGACCAAATCATATGATGAAGGGTCCTCAAAGAACCTTATGGTGTGATTTCATGTATGATGCGTTTCTGAACATAAGTTACATCAACCCCTGTACACCCTACCGCATGTACAGGGGACGGAACAATTGCAGTTAATAATAATAATAATAATAATAATAATGCACTGGTTTTATACAGTGATCTTTAAATGTCATTATTCATTCACTCCATACACGGTGGTGATACTACTGTAGCCAATGTTGCCGTCAAACTCAAAATGAATAAGCATCTATCTTCTTGCCAGTCAAATGAATCATTCTGGGATGAATCTGAACTCCAAACTCAAAAATAATATTGTCCACAAAATTACTGTTTTCAGGCTTCAAGTTCTTCAAACATATCTATGAGGGCTTTCACTTTCTCTTTTTCACATATATTTTTGGATTATGTAGTGAGTATTTTCTTTTGCTTCAAATAACTTTAAGTTGTTCCCCTCCGCCTTGATTATATTAAAGTAAATGTACAAGGACATACCAAGGAAATGTAATAGATTACAAACAACCATGTGTGGTTTAAATGCCATCAGTATCTGTCACATGATCTGAATACACAGCATGATAAAAAATCATTTTCAGTATATAAAATTAATAATAATAATGCATCAGTTTTATATAGCGCTTTTTAGGACAATCAAAGATGCTGTTCGTGTCATTATTCTTTCACTTCATACACGGTGGTGATAAACTACTACTGGAGAACACACACACACCAGACTAATCCTAGGCAATGTAGGGGAAGAGCCTTCCTAAAGACACAACAATAGTTTGGCACTTTACAACCGCCCCAGGCTGGCCTTAGCTATCCGTACACTCCGTTCAATCATCATTTCCCTGCATGTAACGTCTGGGTCTGGTCCCTGTGTTTGCGATTACATCGATTGAATTCCAACCGACCAATCAGCAAGCGCGGGAGGCGGTGTTGTTGGTAGCTGTCGGTGACATCAAGAGTTTGCACCGAACGGGCAGACTGTAGTTTGGAAATGGCGAAGAATGCGATAGTAAAGTAATCCCTTCTGGTTCTATCAAGAAATTGAAGTCGGAGCAAGAGGAATGTTTAGCAAATGTAATTGCTGGAAAAGATTGTGGCGGCAAAGGAGATGGCTATGCTAAATGCAAAATGTTAAAGACTCACAAGGGCTCAATACATACGTGACGGTAAACTCAGATCCAATCATTTCAGACTGCAAAAGGCTTAATGGAGCACCTCCAGACCTTAGTACGAAATGTAATTTGTACTATGGTGTGGTACGACCAAGCTACAGCCGCCCACTCTGGTACCTGGTGTTCCCAGCAGTCTCCCATCACAGTACTAACCAAGCCCTGCCCTGCACAACTTCAGAGGTCTGACGGGATCTGGCTTTCGCATTAAAAGGATGTGCACATGTGAAGATGAAACAAATGCATATTAAGGCATCACTTTCTCTGACCAACATGTTGTGTCTGATCAAATCTGATTGAGTTTCAACTGAAGCAATAACTGAAGAGTTGCACCTTACAAACAGTTGACCAAAAGTGAAAATGCAGCTAAAGCAAAGACTTTTATCTCAGTGTTCACAACCTCACCTGTCATAAAGAGTTCTCCCTCTGCTGCACACCTGGAGCATGCCCTCACCTGTGCTGCGTACGAACAGTGCCTCTCAGTGTCTGCATCAAGCTGCTGATCGTGCAGCAACCCGCCTCCTCCACATCCCCACCTCATCAGTGGAGGAATCATCACGTTGTCTGCTCAGCTCACCACCAGGGTCCAGGCCCCACCTTTGATTATTTCTTGTTCCTGTTGCAAGTATCTCATTGTGCATCTAATCGCCTCATCATGCAGCAGCTGTAGTCATGCAAACATGGTCAACAAACATCATTCTAATGTAGGTCGTCTTGACTCTTGAGTCAGATAGAATGTAATTTACAGTCATGCAATCACAGTCAACAAAACAGTGAAAACATGTATTCTCAATGTCATGGGCCCAACACCTAACCACACATCTCAGCAGCAACACACATGCATCCTTCAACAACGTATATGCCATGCAGACATGACAAAAAGATAGATAACTCTTTTCATTTGTGTGAGTGTAGGGTTTGGAAGGAATCTTGGGTCAGACCTCTTCACTGGTCCAGATGGCTGTGGCTTTTCTCCTCTATGCCAAAGTCTATCTCCAAGGCTCTTGTGGCAGAAGTGAGTGGGAGGCTGCATTTGCACTGACACGTATACACACACACACACACACACGCCCACACATGTATTTGGTATTATTTTTCCTCCTACAGTGAAATTGACCACTCTTTCACACATTTGTATTCAAGTACACCCTCAACCGTCCTACACAAAGCTTATGTATTAAACACAGAGACTTTGGACGTATTCCTCAAGATCCCAGAAGCTAAAAAAAAACCTGTGTATGAGCAAAAAGCACACAATCATAATGTGATATGTAACTTTTTTGGTTGTGGATTTATATAATTGCTTTGACAGAAATAACCTCCAAGGAGACAAGAAAAGATAGATAGCTCACCCTGTTGTCAGTGTTTTAAAATGTATTTCGGATTATCAAATACACCAACAATAACACAAGATTACTGGCGGACTGCGAAGATTCCAAGAAGCAAAGTGAATCGTGGCCCAAGCAGAGCTGATATAGAGGCACCTTTAAGAGAACATGTTTGTGTTTACAGATGTTAGAGAGACATGTGACAGCTGGTCCCATGTAATACAGCTTTCTCTTTTCTGACTTCACTAATCCATAATCTGTGGCTGTGCATACATAAGCATACGTGTACTTTTGTATTCATGTTTCTCAGATGTCACAGTGACTTGAATGATGAAGAAAACAAAGGTTGTAACAATATTATACAAGGGAAGGCATGTGTGGGCAATTCTATGTACGAAATACCAGAGCAGAGACTTTTGGAATGTTTCCTGGTTGAATAAAGGTTAATTAAAATAGAAAAAAAATAGACACATGCCTACACACATATGCACATATATTATTATGGAGTTTGTGTTAGTTTATACAAATGCACTGTTGGGTTTGAATTACTTTTACAAATGTTCTCTCATTTTACTTGTATTTTTTGATATATATTTACCTTGTTTTTTTGTTGTTGTTCTGATTGTGCAGCTGTCTATGAATCGTAATGTGGGTTAAAATAGTGTGATTGTAAACAGAGACAAACATGTCAGTGAAGTAGAAAAGTGTCACCTGGGGAAAACACAACCATAAGACAGCAGGCAGACACTTGTGCATGATATTTATTTGATTGACATTTTTATTCAAATGACATCTGACCTTTAATACAAAATAATTGATTTCAATAATGTGCGTTGAGGCTAAAGATTCAGAGAGTTATGCACAAGACAAGCCTAAAACAGGTGGCTTTGAAAGCCCTGTAGCTGATAGTAAGCACATATTTGTTTTGCAAATGAGCAAAACATAAAAGTATTGTCCCTGATGTCCAAAGAGTCATAATGAAAGAGGCAATAACGCAGATGAAGCAAACAAGGCTATAAAAGGCTCAGTGCAGAGTGAGTCCCCTGCAGACATGAGGAAGTGCCAGACTCAAGTGGAAATATAGCCCCGTGTGAACAACAAACTCTGTTGTCTGCAGTGAAACTCAGAGTCACTGTTCACCGGCTGAACACATACTCGGTGTAACTGGTCCACAGCTTGTCCTCTCCGGGGTCGTTGCTCCCGTAGGAGCAGGTCCCGGTGGAGTTACATGCCACCATGTGGAAGCCCGCCTCCGCCAGCTTGTCAAAGGCCTGTTCCAGAAAGTTGTACTTGAGGTAGTATCTGGCCGTGTAGCGGTCCGGGGGCCGGTCCGGGTCTCGGCTCTCGTTCAGCGTGTCTCCGAACACTTCTTTAGCCAGAGAGATCTTGCTGCACACTGTTATTCTGGCCACTCTGCGGAACTTGGCGTCCGCCTGGATGTCTCTCCCGATGGTGTAGCTGCCCCTGTATCCCACAGTGATGTACCCGGAGCAGCCCCCCGGGGAGCGGGCCCCTGGGGAGCGGGCCCCTGGGGAGCGGGACCCTCTGTCCGAGGATGAGGTGATCGGGCTCAGCTCGGACTCCTCGGCCTCCCCGCTGTCCTCTGCGGAGGAGTTCTCTTTGCTGGCCGTGTCCAGGAGCCTTGCCAGCTCTGGTAACTGGTAGAAGTCAGCTTCTTTCAGCAGCCTCTTCCGCTCTTTGAAGAACTCTGGCAGAATGAGGTCAGAGTCGCGTAAGTAATCCAGAATGTAACGGAACAGAAAGCCGTCGCGGTCGAAGAAGAAGCGGCCCTTGCTGTCTTTGGGCAGGTCGCTCGGGGCGCTCTGCGTAAACTTGCTCCAAAGTAAAGAGTTGGGCACCGCTGTCAAAGTGTCCAGCCGGGTCACGTACACCTGCCCCCCCACGTTGAGCTCCACCACCTCACTGAAGCCCTGCGCCTCGCTCTGTGCCATGGCTGTGCTCAGAAGAGGAACAGTTGCAGAGAGCAGGTTCAGTGCGCACGGAGTTGGATTGGGAGCGTTCTGCAGAATGTTTATATTGCCGTGTATGATCTGTGGGAGGAGGAGGAGGACTGACCACTGTTAACTGTTCAGGGATCGCTTGTCATGGAGGAACTATCGCGTCACTGCCCAGAGGCCAAAGTCACACATTTACATTCAACAGTTTTACATGTAGCCTCTAGGCCAGAGACATTCCATCTTGTCATGGGGTGGCCATGGCCTATTTGTATTTGTATTGAAATCTGTGGAATCTAATAGATTGTTATAATAGAAAGCATATATTTTATTACAGCCCTTTATGATCATTAATTTTATTGAATGGGACACGGGGAAATACACAAAGTTTTGTCCATAGTCCCATTGTCCACTAGCCAATGGATCCTCTTTCTGAGAGGTGAGAGCTCCACCGCACCACAGGACCTTACACAGCCTTACGCCAACAAACCCATGCTCCAAAACTCTCAATATTCAGATACAATAATATTCATAATTAGGAAAGAAATAAGAGTCGTCTGGAGCTGGTGCCTTTTCACTTTGAAGATACATCATGGAGTGTCTGTGCAGAGAGGACAGAGAGATACTGGTTTATGACTGTTATGAACAATCATGTCAAGTTCGTAATGATAAAAAAACTGGAATTAAATTTGCTCTTTCGTTTTATTTTATGTTAGACCTGTTAGTGACAACGAGCTCAACAATAATACTTTGTGTTTTCCGAAACAATAAAAACATTATTTCCCGTATTTATTGCCTGTTTTTCCGTTTACCACATATACACAGTATTATATTGTTATGTCCTCTGATAAGTTGAACTGCACTGCCATCTAGTGGACTTCTATAATACTCAATAGTCGAGTAAAATAGTGCTGCTGATGTGTATTGGCTGGAATGTAAAGACAAAACGAAAGGCTCCACGAATAACACATACATTAGTCATGGTCCTGATTCACAATAAGAGGGATACTTATTATTTATTTGATATTCCACATGTACATGAGTTGTACGTTTTTTGTCAGGAATCTATCAACAGATTTTTATAATAAAATATGAAAATCCAGATTAAGGGGAAGAACATTGATGCATATATTATGTATTTCTTTGAAACATTGTAAAAGTTTACTTTGAAACACTGAACAATTTTTGTTTGCAGATGTGGTCCAGACTGGCAAAAACTATAACAATAGCATCCATGTCGCCAGAGACTGAAGACCAACATATGCTGCAACGTAGACATTCATTACTTTTCTTTTCCACGTTGTGAATGGCCTCTTCTGCAAATGCCAAAAGCTGCAGAGTAACTCACTTTGAAACCATTTTGATTCAGTCCCGTCCTCAGAGCATCTTTTCCAGTGGAAGAAGAGAGTGCCATGCAGTCTGTACAGATAAAACATCAACATTCATGGACATTGGTCTCTCCCTATGGACCAATACATATGTGTTCTATATTCTTTTTGTCTTAACTGTTGATTCTCTGATCTGTGTTGGTGATTTAGAGAAACAGATGACTGCTTTTGTGATTTAGGGCTATACAAGAATACATTGTAATTGTAATTGTTGTTACACACGGTAGGTTTTCTAAAAAGACAGCAGCATGTTGTGGCCTGAGCTGACACTTTCTATTTACAAATGTAATGTATTTATGAAACAACAAGAACAGTCAGGTTCCCTGGCTATAAAGTAACCACATTTTTGAGGTGTCACAGTGGTGATAGAGCTTGTGCTTCACTACAAGAAGGTCCTGGGTTCGATTCTACCTACAGACGAGGCCTTTCTTTGTGGACTTTGCATGTTCTCCCTGTACCTGCGCAGGTTTCCTCCGGGTGCTGTGGTTTCCCTTACCACTAAAAACATGAACAATAGGTTCTGCATTTAGCTCTTGTATGGCAACTCCAATCCCCTCTCAATGCCCAGGACAATAGTGAAGCACTATATAAATAAAGATGACTTACTTACATCAAATTCAGGAGTAAAATAAAGTTGTTTTGATACTGATAATATATAATATACATACCAGGAAACATAGTTAGTTACAAGTAAGGTGACATGCATACTTTATTGTCCACAAAGGTAAGTATGTTCACTGCATTTAAGATCGACACAGGGTCAAATTCACAGCCTTCTTGCTGTGAGGCATGAGCACTATGAGCCGTTGTTTGTGGCCCTAGATTAAGATGTCTGGCAGCAGACAGGCAGCTACAGCATTGGGCCGTCGCATGGCCTGTCAACATTATTTTCTGTTTCTACAAATCATGAAGATGAATGTGTTTCTAGTAGGCATTCTGAACACAAGTCTCGTCTACAAACACCACAAGACGTAGAAGATGAATCCAGCAAACTGCATGAGACCACAGTGGTGCTTCTCTCTCTCTCCAGGGCTAATAATTATATATGCTTTAACCATCAGGCAAATAAATATTATGATATCTATTAGTTACCATTATCACTAATCATTGTCCCAACTATTGCATGTCATTTATTTGATGTAAGCATGTGTATGTAGTATGTCTTTCTTTCTTCATTGATGATCCTTCCGGCCCATCCATCTCCCACGTCAGCAGGATAAAGGAGGCTGGAGTGAGTCTCGTGACGTGTCCACTTGTTGTATGGCACGCTCACGCAGCTCTTTATGTTTTATTGTTCTGTTTCAGTCTCTTCTGTGGGTGTGACGCTGCATACTTATGTGAATGTGGGTAATTGTACAACTAATGCTCTGCTTGTTCTGTGTGTTCTGTCACCTTCTCTCAGGGTTATGTCTGGACCCTTGTGCTCCTCAATCAGCTCTAATGGATCCTCTGGCTCGGGCTCAGACGGGACATGATGTGACCCCCTCTCTGGGGGAGGGGGGAGATTCACGTGGAGATGAGCTCAGACCAATGACACGTTTCTCTTCGTCCTTTATATTTCCTCTGCTGCACATCCTCAAATCACCACCTGAGCTCTGATCATGTTTTTATAAACAGAGTGAGCTGGTTTTAAGCTTCATTTGACTCTGTGTCTTCTGCATGGGCAAAAGTTTACTCCTAAACTGTTTATGCATTTATGGTTTCAACCAAAACAAGTTAGTTACTGTAATCTATTACATGACAGGATGAAAATATCATATGTTTGGCTTATAATATTGCTGTCTTTAAAATGTCACATGTAAAATGCTATGTTACATTACTTTTTAAGTTAGCGACAGATTATTTAAAACAGTACTATAAAAATAACACGTTTACATTTCTAGAAACAAGTATTTTACAAATACAAAGTTTTCTTTCGCGTTTATGTTGTCTTTTTGCAGCTCTATTGTAAATAGTTTTTATATCAATGTAATTCATATGCAGTGGAAACCTTAAGTTTATGTTAAATGTATTTTTTTTTAATGGTTTTAGGCAAGTTATTTTTTACTACAATTATTTGTATTACCTTAGAATTGAAAGAGGCAACTCGTCTGAATAATATTTATTACGCTTTCTTGAAAGTCAGAATTTTATTTTTATTTCTTATGTATTTTACAGAGTGTATATAAACTTCTGGTTTCCACATTTATGTGATGGATATGCATGTAGCTTGAGATTGTGACTACAATATCTGGCAACAAGCTATTTTTAGTAGTATAACCAAAAATACTAAATAACCACAAGTGATATCTGGGTCTTTGAGTTTCTGGTGACACAAATCTGATGTGATTTTTAAACCAACAACTGAACCCAAGACGAATCACAGATCAGGATTGAAGTAAACTGACTAAAGGAAACGTTTGTACACTGCACCTCAGAGCGTGCTCAGACCGCGGGTGCGTACGAGTTCACCATTGGTATGAGAGAATAGCGTTGTGGAAAAAGACACTTGTCTGTATCTGTTAACACGATGTCCTGTGTGTACATGGTCAGCCCCTCCTCCCTCTTCCTCTCTCTTCATCCACTTCTTCAGTCTCTGAGTGAACAGCTCCCCTGGGGCTAATGCGAGTCTCTGTAAGTGAAGTGTGTGTGGGAGCTCTATATTATTCTCCCCAGTGACTTTCTATGGACAAAAAAACTGCTGACCTGCCTCTGAGGAGCCTCCGTCTGTAAGCTATATGTATGTAACTGAAAAGAGGAGTCGTACTCACTGCAAGTGTGTGTGTCCGTGTGTGTGTGTGTGTGTGCGTATGTATGCATGTATTTATTGTGAAGCAGAATTCACCAAGCGTTGGATTGTTCACCCACTTATAGGGAGCGTGAGCTGGGTTTAGACCGTCATGAGACAGGTTAGTTTTCCTGATAATGTGTTGTTGCAATAGTAATCCTGTGTGTGTGTGTGTGTGTGTTGGTGTGCGGGTATGTATACTGTACTTTCGGGTTTATAAGGAGCACCTGTATACAAGCCGCACCACCTAAATTAAAGATAAGCAATTTCTTCCACATAGAGGCCGCACCTGAATATAAGCCGCAGGTGTTCATGTTGGAATGGAGCCGATTGAGGACAGTTTTAACTGGTCACAACATGATAACCATTAGCTTCCATCCCAGTACTCACTCACCAATATCTATTTTGAGAATAAACGTCCTATAGCTACTAAAAATGTATCGAGTCAAAATAATAAGTCCATAAACTCTGCTCTGATAAATACACAGATTAACCGCATCAGTAACCGCACGGTTCAAATAACTAGAAAAAATAGTAGCTTATATTATGGAATTTATAATATGTACAGTATGTGTGTGCTTGTGCATTTGTGTGTGTGTGTGTGCGTGTGTGTGTGTGTGTTTGCGTGTGTGTGTGTGTGTTTGCATGTGTGTGTATGCGTGTGTGTGTATGCGTGTGTGTGTGTGTGTGTGTGTGTGTGTATTTGTATACATTCTGAATTTGCAGTCCGATTGTATAAAGTATAGGACTCTAATTTTCAACCTTTTATTAACAACATTTGAAGTTGTATTGAAGTACTTTGTTGATGGGTGTTTAGTAAAAGTGAAAACCAGGCCTTGAGCAGCTTCACAGTCATTCCTGCAGTGCTCAGAACTCTGGTCTATACCTGTAGTCTGTCCATACCAGGGAACAAGGTCTTCTGGTAATTGGGTTTGCTTTGGCTACTGATTAAATTAGAGTAGGCGCAACATTTATTCCACAAAAACAAAACCCTTAGCCTGCACCAAAGGTCTAATAAAGATGATGGGCAGATATGAAGGAAACAAGTAGATAACCCGTGATTTGGAGCATAGATTTGGTCTCCAATCTTGCTTTTTTAATAATTCTAATGTCCTATGCATTTTATCTACAGTCCCTGCAGATCCATACCACTACAGCTCCATCCATTTTCCCCCTGTTTCAATTAGTTCCCCCCAATTAAATTAGAGAGGACATTACTTTAGAAGGCCATAAATAGGCAGGCGCTGTCGGGATGGTGGTGTTGCTGCTTGAGATAAGATTTGAGATGTCTGTATGGCAAAAGCTATATAAACAAAATGCACAGTTTGATCCAAGAATAGCAATAGACTATTATTATGTAATCTCTGTTTTTGTGGTTACAGGTTTGCATGTGGGTATAGAAGTTTTAATGGATTTGACAAGGCTATCGCGCATTTAAAAGCACTTGCCATCACAGAAAGCCAAGGAAGCTTGCCTGGAAAATCCTTATATTTTTTTCAGAGATAAGATACAAAGACGGCACAGTGGCTGAGCGATTGGCGCTTTCTTTGGCTCTTATTTTTCAGCCTAAAATTCTGGGTTGTAATCCTGGTCGTAACAGGGCAATCCTGAGTTTGCATGTTTTCTCTCTCTCTGTCTGTGCAGGTTTCCTCCGATCACCAAAATGTGCAATACTGTAGGTCCCCGCTCTCTGAGGCCAGGACTCCACTGAAAAATATAATTCTGAAATCTTTACTGACTATAAAGATTAATAAATAGCAAGTTGTGCTTAAGATGGTTGACCAGTATGTGATGTTTTTGTGTATGTAGAATAGAAGTTGAATAGTTACATTTAACATTTGGCCATGTAAGATAAGATAATCACTTGGGGAATGCATAATTAACCAGGGCAAAGAGGCTTGTTCACATTGCCCTCTGAAGGTATGCACTATCGGGCTATCTACACACACGCTGTCTTTTTTTTCGTAATCTCATCTTGTCATGTCCGGTGAAGGCTACCGCTCTATCAGACCGCCTCTTCCCAGAACAACCTGCCTTATCCTCTACGGTACGGCTAAAAAAATGTATTCTGATAGGATCTGAACGGACAAAAAAGTCATTTGTAAAATCTTGCGGTGATTTGTCAAATACAATGTTCTAAAAAAAAAATAGCCGCGGATGAAGTATATTGGTCGGTATCCAAATGCATTTGACCATCCCCCAATAATATTCTTGCACATCCGTAAATCCCAAAATAAATGGATTGACTTTTGGACAAGTGACAGTTTTGTCTCATAATTGTTAATTATTGTGAGTGCTCTTTCAGGTACTTTCTATGAATGGGCCCATGACGCTCACGTTCCCCCTCCAGCTGGGCCTTTTATGCGATTGTTCCTTACTTCTCAAGGTCAGCAAAAAGGACGTAATCGAAGGGCGGGGCACTTGCGTCATCTCTGTGATTGGTGAGTTTTATGGCAACAGGGCGCCAAAAAGCTCCGCCCACCCAAGACCAGTCTACGTCATACAGTCTATGATCTCCAGCCGCCTCACGAAGCCTCCAGTGGCCCCTCCCACAGTCCCAGATGAGAGCACAGCACTTAAGGTAATGCAAATAAGCAGAGAGAGAGAGAGCCATGGGGCTATTTTGAGATGTCGTCTTTCATAGAGGACCAGAGAGCCAGACAAAGATGCAATCCAACCATTGTAATGTCAGTCACGTTTCCGAACATGTTTCCTCACTGGTTGCTCCTCAAGGCCTCACGAAGATGCATCGCAAAGTTCATACACCCAAGTAAAAAGACAGCTGCGAAGAATTACAACATATGGACATTTTTACAAAAGTATAGACTTTATAGATAATTGGAAACATGTACATTTTAATGTTTCATTTTTTTTTATAACATCAAAAATAAATAAACATTTAACGTTAGGCTTTTGTTTACTTTCACATACTTTGAATCATTTATATATATCGTGTTTATGTCTAATATTCTCTTAGAAACACATTACAGAAATGAAACTGTACACTGCTGTAGAACCGATTTGATTGGCTACTGTTTTTGTACTGCAACTCTCACGGTTTGACGTCACCATTAGAACACACAGAGACAGCAGTAAAATGGACACGATTAAATAGAGTGAGATCATCTAGAGCTTACATTCATATTCAAGTCATTGTTCACTGCGGTCTGACTGGACACGGCCGCAGCTGAAGAACGCAAAAGTTACTCGGGTTTCATTTAAGGCAGTTAATTACAATAATAACATTTTCTTTTTCCTCCAAACCTTTTTACAATTGAACTAACAATTCTATGATCAGATTTTTCTCAATCTGACGCTACAATCTACAGTTGTATATGATTCGTTTATGGATTGCTCTACAACTATATTCACAGTCATCGGAATAATTAGCCATATACAGTAAATATATATAAACTGAAATGACAAAACCATTTGGAATATGACGATAATGATTTGGCACAATGTTGTCTGCAGTTCTTTGTAGTTGGGTAGTCTAAAGCTATAAAATATCTTGTTTTTATTTTGAATGAATTGTTAAAGCATTTGTTATTGCCATTGATACATTTATCCCTTAACCAGATTTGTGCTGTCTGTCATCCTGTCGAGTCCAAGAGCTTTTCATCACACACACTGGCTAAGCTTTCAGTGCAAATGAAGTCAAAATCAAGCCATTTCATTTGATGACCATATAAGGAGACAATAATACCCCTATAACCGCTCACCTGTAGAGGAACAGAAACTCAAAATGGCCGCACAGTGAATCAAAAAATATGGCTGTTGTCCACTACTATTGACTACTTATGGAGCTACGCTTATAGTTTCCGGAGGTAAAATTCCCCATTCAAAATCCCAAAGGAGATTTCGAAAAATAATCATTATAAAAGATCGAAAACACACAGGGCTGAAGAGAGAATCATTATGTGAGGAAACACATGCTAAAACTTTGAGATGGAGATTATTCTGTTTTGTTTTATGTTCGTTTTTTGTGTGTCCTGGACCTTTGTGTGTCCTGGGCCGTGTGTGTCCTGGGCCGTGTGTGTCCTGGACCGTGTGTGTAAAAAATTATACTTCTTTATTGTGTTAAAGAGATGTTATACTTGTTTCTTTGATGCTAGAGTTAGAGATTTTGTTTTATTTTAATTAGTATAGTTATTGTTCACTTATCTTGTGCTGTGTGCTCCTCATTCCTACTGTTCTATAACATGTGATGCAACACTGAAATTTCCCCACGGTGGGATGAATAAAGGATCTCTTAATCTCATGTATGCTTTGAGATTTTGTGTTTTATGGAAAATTATTTAGAATTGGGACTAATATAATCAATAAAAGAAATAAATATAATGGTTGTGGGAAGCCAGGGCGCTATAAAGAAAATGTCCTTGATTCAAAATGTTTTGGTCTGAAACCACCATGCTGGGTATAATAGTGAGCTGGTAGCTAGTTAGCTAGTTAGCCGGTGTCATATCATCAACCACTTTATGTTATGTGATTTTACAAAACTCCAGTGTTGATTTTGAACGGGGAATTTTCCAGGATCCAAAACTCTGCCCACTCTGGAGCTTCATAAGATCAACCCTACCCCTATCGTCAAAATTTTTGACGCCATATACCCCAAAGACAGTTTACATATTCGTACGAGTCTCTCAAAGCTCTTACTTTTAGCAGCCAAACCTGAGTCACTCTTCATGATGGTGGGAGTCTGGGCTGGACTCCTCCTCCTCTTCCTCCACTGGCTCTGTGGGCAGTGTGTCGCGGCGAGTGAACGCTGCAGCCAAAGTCACGCTCAGCCTGGGCTTCATGGACGCCATCTCCGACAGGCCGATGTTGTTGCTACGTGTCACTAGAGTCGTTTTGTCCATAATCTCCGCGCTGTGCTTAGAAACTACTGCATCCATGAAGTCGTACTTATGTGAAAGCCTGCCGCTCTCAAACAAGTACTTGGTCAGGTACGAGAAAGACACATTACCTGCTAAAGATGCCAGCATAGACACGGTTTTGAAAGGGAATTTTTGTACGACAATGTCTTCCATTTCTCCCGTTATGTTGTTTAAGACTTTCTCGTAGGTCCAGCCGGGATAGTAGATAAAAGGCGGTAGCTTCAGGTAAGGCTCTCCTCCACCAATGCGCAGGATCAAACCAAAAACGTAGGCCGCGACCGAGCCGTAAGTGTTGGTGCCTTTGACGAAGAGCACGGAGAGCAGCTGAGGAAAGATGATGACGTAAACCAGGTCGGAGCTCAGGTACCACAAACCGTAGACGGTCCCAGTGACCAGTGCCATGACCGTGGCCAGTCCACCAAACACAAAGATGGAGATACGCATGACCCACACAATCTCACGGTCCGAGGCCTGTGAACACATGTACAAAATCATTCATACACATGTTTGAAAGTGAAGGTAGACTCAACCGTTAACGTCTAGAGGTAATGGCAAGTGAAGCGATCGAAGAAGCATTTCTATCTCTCATGGAGGAGGCGTGGCTCTGACTGGAATGTTCCGTGGTAAATAAAAGAATCTCTTACTTAAATCTTATATTGAGCAAAAAGTCTGACTTGACTTATCATAGATCTGATTGTTAACTTAGATTAGAATATAATAAAAGTGGGGCAAGTAACTTTTTGAATATATAAAAAAATCTATTTTGTTATTCCCAGCAAAAAGAGTCATGTAAACGTAACATTTTGTGAACACCGCTTTCTTCATCCTATATAGATTTTTATTTTTTATTTTTTAAACATATCTTTTTTATACTTTTGTCCTGTGAGTCACTATTTGACACTTTGGGCAGAGAGCTGATTGGCTGAGTGAGAATGGTCCTCTGTTTTTCACTTTTTTGACTGAAAAAGCTGAATAATCCATACATGTGACAACTAGCGATTATAGAACTGTTGAGAACGAGAACCTAGTTTGTACGTTGTTGTGATTCAGCGCTGTACGAAAATAAATATAATTGAATTGTATAGAACTTGTAATTGTATCTGCTTTAAACCTACTCTGCACCTGCTATTTTTGGATGGAATTAGAATTAATATCAAAACAGGAAAGTCTTTAATGAAAATAGTAATTTAAGTGTGGTTTTAATGATGCAGGATTTCTCTTTGTATACACTTATTTTTTAAAGAGATACATCAATTGAGACATAAGCTGCGACCTTTAATCTTTACCCCTTAAAGTGACCAGTATTAGTACATGGATAGCTCACACACACAGGATTCATTGACGAATCATAGAACAATTTAAGAAAATCAACCGCTGTCCTACCGACTGTCTGAATGCGAGCTGGTAAATGTTCCTGGCAAACATGGAGCTGGCCGACAGAATGGAGGAGTCTGCAGAGGACATGACGGCGGCAGAGACGGCGCCCAAACCGAAGAAAGAGACGAAAGGGGGACAGAGGTGCTGCAGGACGATGGGGAGGATCATGTCTGCCTCGTTCTTTTCTTTCGGGGACATGCTGCCATATGACGTCTGGTTCCAGTCTGAAGAGGCCCACAGTTAGCTTACTCATTACAGAAACAGAACATGTCATTGGTGCGCAGGGATACTAGTAAAATTACGGGAATTATAATAAATACTCAGGTATAATGATAAAAAATATGCTTCTATTTATAGTTGTGCTTGAAGTTTTACACACCCAGGCAGAAATGTCCATGTTTTGGCCCTTAATTTTGCAAATAAACAGGTTCAATGTGTTTTATCTTCCCTGATAATAACGCTGTCCATTCTTTTTTTATATATAGTTACTGTAAATTCCTGGGCTGCCTTGCATGAACTGCATCTTTGTGATCTCCCCAGAGCAGCTCAATAATGTTCATCATCAAAGGTTTCTGTGGTTGTCATTTCCTGAAAAAGTCCAAAATAATGAAATCTATAATGGATGTGAGAACCTAAAAGAACAACAACTGCACAACATGTTGCTAAAATTGCTAATATTGTTCATCCAAGAGGTCCTAATAACAAGAGTACATACAGTACATGGAATTTGATTTAGAAAAAATGTATATGTTTTTAAGCTTTGTTTTCAATATGACAAATGTGAAATCCAGAAACTCAGAGATCAAACCCCTAATTCTGTCTCAAGCTCTCTTCTTATGCAATATTTACACATGCAGCACGGTTATTAAACGGATTGCTGCTTCATTATAGATGAGGTGAACCAGCTGCCATTTAGCCTCCTCTCTCAGATCTAAGGGCGACATGTTTTCACACAAACAGGAGCGCGGAGAGTGTGGCAGACCTGTGGAGGCCCCGATGGCTCCGATCAGCACCGAGGGGACGGCCATGACGAGGCAGCCGAAAGCAGCCAGGAAGGACAGCACCTGGGCGTATGTGGCTGAGGAAGCAGACAGGACACGCTGGAAGTACACCTGCCATGGGATCCCACCCATTACCTGACCGCAACAAGAGGATTCACAGATTTATACGGATTAGAGAAGACGCTAACCTACTATAGAAACACTCTACATTGTCAGAAAAAACTAAAACAAAACATTCATTGTAATTGTAGGACTATAAGTTGCCAGTTTTTACATTGACTCCTGCGGCTTATACCGATGAAGCAAATATTTTTATTGTGGTAAAGTTGGGCTGTTCTCAAAGTGTACTCATTATTTTGTCTCAAACACGTTTTAGTAGCTTTGGGACATTTGCTTATTGTCAAACACCTTTTCATCAATTCTTGTTGTGTTGTTTACCTGGCTGTCTCTCAGCCTACATGCGGCTTATATTCAAGTATGTGGCCTATATTTGGACAAAATGTACTTTCTTTCTAATGATGTGCTGGTGCAGCTTATATACAGGTGTCCAGAAGGTACTGCACATACATTTGAATTTGACTCAATTATTGTCACAAGGTTTGCACAAACAGTGTTTTACCAGGAGGCAGAAGTTGTCTATCCAGACCCAGGCATCGCTCTTGTTGATGCTGCCTCTCCAGGGTGACTGATACACCTGTTTGACAGCAGTCACTGTGATGTCTGACACTGCTGGGTTGGTCAAAGCAAAGGGAACACTGATCCACTGAGAACACAGGCAATGCAAAAAAATCACATGAAAATTGAGTCACAGGATCAAAGACGAGACAGACAAATAAAGCATGAGTGCTTCATTTATCCATCTCGGCTCAAGTGATTATTGTAGTTTCCTTTTTGACTCACCAGACCAATAAAGATACAGAAGAGTTGGACCACATCAGTGTAAGCCACTGAATACAGCCCTCCAACCAACGTGTAGAACATTGCAATGAGAGCTGAGATGATCACAGACATCTTGATGTTGATGTCCACAATGACACTCAAGGTGGCCCCTAGGAGTAAAAGAGGAAGCTTAATTAAAATCAATGACAAATGCTGAGTCAGGCTTTAGGCCAGTGAACTTACCAAGTGCAGAGAAGATGGCGGCTGACCAGAAGATCTCACCCATGAGTGCTGGTATGAATAGCAGTCCACCCATACGTTTGCCATACAGCTGCTGGAACGGGTCCAACATGGTGACGTAACCTCTGGAGCGCATGGGCTTGGCGAAGAAAAGACCGCCTGAAGACGCCACATGCATCAGGCAGACACATGACCAATAACAGGTCAAAGGGTTAATGTATTATTTGTAGAAAAGGAGCAAGAGTATATGACAGAGTCACTTATAACAAAAAGAGTGAAACTCACCTACAATCAGACTGAGCGCATATCCAAACGGAGCTTGTGCCCAGGCCAGACCATAGTCTGGTAAATACACATACTCAGCTGTGCCATTGATGTACCCTCCTCCAACCCAGGTTGCTAAGAAAAAAAAAGTCAGATTGTTTGAATATACTATACATATTTTTCAGTGATATGACATTTTTTTATTTTGTTTTTGTTTTTTGGGATTAATTATGAAATATTATTTTCTATTTAGATATTTGTTTGTTTCAAGGAGTGAGACAAATCCAAACATTACATGGTTAATATCAATACTTATGTGAAGCCTATACTTTTAAGACAATAACTGAGCATACAGTTAATGTACCTGTCATAGTAAATCCACCAACAAATAATCCAATATCTCTGCCTCCAACCATGATAGTCTCGCTGCGGTCCGTGCCCTGCTCTTCTCCGGAGTGCTTGTTCTTCCATGCCGCCCAGATGCCCACGAACAGGATGAGCAGATAGAAGAGCGCTATGGCCAGGAGCCCCTCTGTGTGGATGGTCATGGTGCACGGGTCAAGCGCTAAGAGCGGCCGGGCAAAGGCACCTACAAGGGAAGCGCGCAAGAAAACACTGTAGGATATTTTAATGCACGCAATAGTTTGTGAAGAGCGTAACTGGTTTATTTCCAAATCAGTTGTACTTTCCTAAAACGGGGCTTGAGGTGTCATTAACAAAACATGCATTAAATGTCTAATTGCGCGCACTTTTTAACAAACGTATGCAATTAGTGTTTTTGTTTTGTTTCCCTGGCTCATTATGAAGATGCCTATGTTTCAGTTGCAAACAAAATAAAACGTGGGGGAAAAAAAATCAAACATACCTCAATGTTTCCTAGAGTCATGTGCTGTGTCCCCTGACGCAGAAAGAAGCAAGCAAAAGTTAACAGTTTAAACAAAAAGGAGAAGCGTCCTCTTTTGCGCACGGACTAAAGTGACTGAGGAGAGTGCGGGTCTCTCGGGTGACTTTGGCGCTTATAAGGCTCCAGGTGCGTCAGAGCAGCAACGCGTCTTTTTAATGAGCGCCATGTATGAGAGCGTCACTGCCCCTCGCAGAGGATAACATACAGATTCCTTTAGTCCATGCAAGATAATTAACGTCTATTGCACAATTCTAATGCTTATGTTTTCCGGACTTTATAGAATTACTGTTTATCTTGTAATACAGTCTAGCCATGAACCATATAATTCCGAGTTCCTCTTCTTTCACTCAACCTGTTCCTTTACAAAGCAATTATATAGTGCCTGTCACCGCTGTTATTGTCTTCAAAAGTTTACTAAAACATAACTCAACTTGAGTAGTCTACAAATATTAGTATTTTACTCATATACGTTTGGCTGAATTATATTGTGGCATGCTATCTACATCTTGGTTATAGATAGGACCAGCGAGTATAAAAGGTCTCCTCAATCGGAGGTCGTTTAATTTGGCCTGTTTCTGTCAAAAGTGATGTCCACCCAATTAAAATGGATATAGGAGCCAGGAGGAGAGGATGGACCTTTAAGACACTTAGTTTAGCTGAGAAATAACTATCACATAGGGAGGCAGATCAGCTCCACACAATTAGCGCCCCCTATTGGTGATAGCGCAGTACACAATGCCAGGACCACGGACAGATGCACCAGATTCATTATATATTGGAGTCTTCACTTTATATATTCATATTGAATTGACTCATTTCAAAATATAAGGTAATCTAATACCATGACATTTTACAGAAAACAGTCACTATTTTGGAAATGGGTGTTAAAGTATAACTATTTCACCGTTGTTGAGCAGAAGGATTGATGTCTAATGAGCAGCTGCTGCTGACAGAGCTCAGGACTTTCACTGAGGTGTGTGTTGATTCATACCTTACACACAGTTACACACAACAAAACATCATTTTTGTCAGTTTATTGACATAAATTATTACTGTTCAAACTCATAAGCAGTTGTTCATACACACTTTTTGTGAACAATAATCTTAAAGCTAAAGAGAAATGCTGACATTCAAGTAGTAATAGTAACTATCTTTAATTACAATTTGGTTCAAAAGTGAAACAGCTGGTGATTTATATGCATTTGTTCTACAATAGCTCTCCATCTATAGCAAAATACACAACTACATAATTACATATTGATAATGTTATCATTGGCGCAAACCCTCAATACTATTTACAACATATCCACACAGTTTGTGCAGTTTAAGCAACATAGAAAAAGGTTTTTAGATGATCAACAAAGAACTGATGCAGACTGAAAACTGGCACACTTTTCCAGTAGGTAAAAAAACATGTATTGTATGTCAAAAACTAAAAACATATTTTGTATGGACTTTTCCACAACCACAATTAAATGCATTCTGTAAATATATGTCGTACAAAAGAAATGAGGTGATGATAAAGCAAATTTAAGAGTAATAGTAATTTTCTAATAAACCTGGTGTAATAAACATATTTAACAAAAAACAAAAAAATAAAAATGTGATTTGAGAAGCTGATGAAGTTGCACTATTACAGCCATTCCCAAAGTCAGTAACACCAAAAAAATAACCAAAAAGACAACGTTAAAAATATGCTCCTGTCATTATTTCATTTGGGGGAAATAGCCTCTGCTACAAACATGTAAACGACGCACCACATTTTGTAATACAATAATGATTACAATTTGAATATTCAAGTCAAATAATGAACACAAATATTGTAGTTATACAAACAAAATATCATTAATTTAACATATAATAATTATATAAGATTTTTGTTATGACCTCTTGCGGCCCCGCTGCAATACCCTCGGACCCCACTTTGGGAGACACTGCTCTATGAGTTTGGTCATTGTAATGTTTTCATGGTGCATTCGAGGAATGTGGTAACCTCCGGATGTCTGGTTTCCTTCCATCTTGGAAAGTTCAGATTCGAACGGCAAGATATGTGGATGTTAGCTTTATTAAAATCCATTTAAGCAGACTTTTTATTTTCCTTTAATTTAACTAGAACATCTGATGAATTTGATGTTTCTACAAGTATAGACATTTAGGGAAAGAGCTCAAATATTTAGGATAAGTAGTTTTGTCTCCAGACAACAGGTGATTCAGAAGTGGGGAAGCAGATTTTGACCCGAGTATTTTTATCTGACTGCAAAAACTCTGATTGCCGTTCTGCTCTTCATGACCTCACGTTCTCAGTGTTTTGATTTGATCTATGAAAAACAAATATACCCAATTAATAATTTGTTGTTACAGTAAAAAAATGTATGCCCACTTCTATATTAACAAGACAAGAACATAGGAACTAGAACTTTCAGCACACAAACACACTGTTATTAATAATCTTTAGAACAGAATTGACTGTAGGGAGTCTGGGACAGAAACAAAGATACTTACAGAACAATTTGTTCTATTACGAGAAGTGTGTAGAAACATGCACATAAACACACATAAGAAATCAGCATGCAAGTTATCAAATAAATAGCGAGAAGGATAGAATAATACATCCTCAAATACCATACCTTGTAGCCATTCGACTCCCTCTTGTAAACCTTCTCCGTTCAAAGCATTGGTCGCACTGAAACATCAAAATGTGTTTCTTTTGATTAAAACACTTCAGAACATTTCCATACTTTTGCAAACTGTACATTGAATTTCCATCAATATACACAAGAAAAAGACTACACATTTGTGCCACGTCAGCACAAAAGCAAAAGGCGGGCAGAAAACATGAACCATTTGTTGTCAAATGTCAATGTGGAAATCATGGCAGGAGGGTTCTCTGAAACACTGCGCTACATTAACAACAACACTAGTCCCAAGAATCAATAATTAAGTCACAAGGGTCAGCCTTTACTCACCAGATGTGCCATGGTTTATCTTTGATGTTTTCAAGACACAGCAACTGAGAAACTTTAACTGAAGAAAGTGAATCTCGTACATCCATCTTGTTTGCAAAAAATAGTATTGGGACCCTTCTGTGTTTGACGTCTACATAAAAGATAATGCACAGGTTATGGTTGTGCTTTCTTACATGTTTTAGGATCTCAAAACTTTTACTATGGCTTTAAGTTTGCATACCTGGGTGATTGATTAGTGTGTCAAGTTCCTCTTTAGCCACAACCATCCTCAGCTTGTCCGCGCTATCAATAACAAATATTATAGCCTGGCCCTCCCTGGAAAAGGATAAATAATTTAAGACATGATTTCTAATACTCAATGAATTGTTACAAATGAACACACTTACTTGTAATAGTGTTCCCAAAGGTTTCTGTATCTACCTTGGCCAGACATATCAAACACAGTGAAGGACAGACTAGGAAGAGGCAAAAATCGAATTATTTTCATGCACTGACAAGACTGAAAGATCAGGACTCATGCTGTCCATACCTGGAAGTCTTGAATTTTTCAATACTAAACCCAATTGTAGGAACGATGTCTTGGGTCTGAGCCTATAACAGGATTATGATAGGATTCAGTGTGAACCAAAAATGCACAACATTGTATTCATCGATTATCATAATATTTAACGACTGTAATTCAAACGGCAGACGTCTTACATTTGAAGGTTTGAGCCTGTTGATGATGGTGGTTTTCCCGCTGTTGTCCAGACCCAAACAGAGAACATTCACCTCCTTCTTCAGCCCCAGCCATGAGGCCAATTTATCAAATAACCCCATTGGCGATTAAACAATCAGTTGCTTCTCTGACCTGTTCTGCATGACATGGCAAGTTCAGTGTAATAATCAAGTATACATTATCTGTGTTTATTAATCATGCACAGATGTTACAATGTATTATCAGATCAGGTATGCATGTATCAGATTTATCAGGCAGAAGTGGTAGAAGTAACGCTAGCCAAGTTGCTAAGCTTTGTTACCAGAAAATACCCACTCTCTGAAGTACGAGTTTTCTCTCATTTTTCTTTAGCACTCTACTTTGAAGTTAGAGAAGACCACGTGTGATGAGGGCTTCTCGATATTTGTATGCATCTGTGTGAGTGCTTTTCTATCGTTAGCTTGCTAACTTCAATCCCTAGTGAGTTAATCTCTTTGTCGCTAACGTTGAATTGAACGAACACGTAAAGAAATATGTTGGCTTAATAAACAGTGTATTTATCTGCCACGACGTTGCACAACATAAGTCTTATTTAGATATAAAACCACGCTGCCATCAAGCTAGCGATAACAGTAAACAACCGCACACTCCGTTATGTTTAACCTAGCTATTCGTAGGTAGCAAGCTAGCGGTCGAGCTAACATCAACACTCATGTAGAACAAACATGAGAACAAACAGAACATATTTCTTTTACCTTGGATGTACTTCAAAAGCGTTCACGTTGAGGCGTGATCCAGATGGGCTGAGCTGGTGTCATCGGTGAATCTGAGTCAGAGCATCGTTTCTGCCTCAGACTGAACTACTCTTTCTGCTGCTGTGGGTTATTTACACCTTGTTGCTGGGAGACCATCGTGTGCGTGGCGTGTGCGTAACAACGACACACTCCCCTTTAGGTCAAACAAGGTACTGCAACACATTTTACAATGACATGGGTTTAATATGCTTTAAGTTAAAACGATAACAAATAAATATCCAGGTTTTCAGAGAAAGGATTCAACGAAAAGTATGGTTTGTAAGAGAAATGGCAGGAACATGAGGCTATAATGGACACAAATGATAAGTCTACAACTAACTAATAGGTAAACATTGCAACCCCATCTGGAACCTCAGCCTCATAATGTCTAAGATAATATCCTGCAGGTATTTGACAATATCACCTGTCACGTCTTCATGTCCAGAAAACGTGTGTGGTCCTTAGTGGCAGTCAAGAGGGTGTGTACATCTCAACAAGGTGACAATTGTTCCTCTTAACAATCACACAATCAAAATCCCTTGCGATGGTACAGAAGACTATTAAAATAATCTCGTTTTTATTAACGAACCAAGTAAAACATAAGCCTACAGCTTTCACAAGACTTTGTACAAGACATACTGCATTATCATGATACATGTATATAAAATCTTTTGACATTCAACGGTCTTCAGTCCAAAACATGATTGTGTTTATCATACTTTCAATTAGAAATCATCATTCTAACCACCCTTACCACACATCTCTACTTCATATCATCTCATCATGAGGTAACTTGACACCTTTCAAAGTTCATCAGATTGTCACTTGGAGAAAGAAGAGGTATTGGTGAACACTTGAAAATACTACAGGAAGCAAGTTGGTCCAAAATTCAAGTGAGATGCCTTTGCTGAGTTCTTGATTTGTCCAGCACTGACAGAGGTTTGTCTGTTGTGGGCGAAGATCTGAAGAGGATGTGTGTGTGATTTCAACAAGACGACATCTGGCCCAGCAGCTGACAGCTCCCAGATGAGAGGTGAGTGGTATACCTGCTACACCTAACAGTCTGGTGTTTTTGCAATTAATCAAATGGTGATGTGGAAGGTCTCTGGTTCACTTCCTGTCGTGGTGTGTGAGAGTTTTTATTGATGTTGGGCTCAGACTTGAAAGCCGTTCTGCTGAATATGGTGAAGCTGCAGGCGTAGAGACTGTATGCTGCTGATGATTCGTCTCTGGTGACCGATCAAACAGATGCCGATCCTTCTGATGTCACTGCAGGGCAAGAACGATGTAGCTTTTTAATAAAAAGGTCCTATTCTCATAAGTCTACAATGAGAATCGACATGACATTAAAATATTTTTTTAATAAAAAAAGCTTGCATTAAGTTCTTTAAAAGTGGTGAGTTACATTGGGATTAGAGCTAAGTAAAAAAGAAGCCTTTTGAGGTATTTATTAGTTTTATAGTATTTCATTTAGGTATACAGTGCCTTGCGAAAGTATTCGGCCCCCTTGAACCTTTCAACATTTTGCCACATTTCAGGCTTCAAACATAAAGATATAAAATTTTAATTTTTTGTCATGAATCAACAACAAGTGGGACACAATTGTGATGTGGAATCAAATTTGTTGGATAATTTAAACTTTTTTAACAAATAAAAAACTGAAAAGTGGGGAGTGCAATATTATTCGGCCCCTTTACTTTCAGTGCAGCAAACTCACTCCAGAAGTTCAGTGAGGATCTTTGAATGATCCAATGTTGTCCTAAATGACTGATGATGATAAATAGAATGCACCTGTGTGTAATCAAGTCTCCGTATAAATGCACCTGCTCTTTGATAGTCTCAGGGTTCTGTTTAAAGCGCAGAGAGAACCATGAAGACAAAGGAACACACCAGGCAGGTCCGAGATACTGTTGTGGAGAAGTTTAAAGCCGGATTTGGATACAAAAAGATTTCCCAAGCTTTAAACATCTCAAGGAGCACTGTGCAAGCAATTATATTGAAATGGAAGGAGTATCAGACCACTGCAAATCTACCAAGACCCGGCCATCCCTCCAAACTTTCATCTCAAACAAGGAGAAGACTGATCAGAGATGCAGCCAAGAGGCCCATGATCACTCTGGATGAACTGCAGATAACTACAGCTGAGGTGGGGATGGTGTGTTCAGGGTGATGAGCTGTGTTGCTTTTACGCCAAACATATCGTTTTGAATTGTGGCCAAAAAGTTTGATTTTGGTTTCATCTGACCAGAGCACCTTCTTCCACATGTTTGGTGTGTCTCCCAGGTGGCTTGTGGCAAACTTTAAACAAGACTTTTTATGGTTATCTTTGAGAAATGGCCACTCTTCCATAAAGGCCAGATTTGTGCAGTGCACGACTGATTGTTGTCCTATGGACAGACTCTCCCACCTCAGCTGTAGTTATCTGCAGTTCATCCAGAGTGATCATGGGCCTCTTGGCTGCATCTCTGATCAGTCTTCTCCTTGTTTGAGATGAAAGTTTGGAGGGACGGCCGGGTCTTGGTAGATTTGCAGTGGTCTGATACTCCTTCCATTTCAATATAACTGCTTGCACAGTGCTCCTTGAGATGTTTAAAGCTTGGGAAATCTTTTTGTATCCAAATCCGGCTTTAAACTTCTCCACAACAGTATCTCGGACCTGCCTGGTGTGTTCCTTTGTCTTCATGGTTCTCTCTGCGCTTTAAACAGAACCCTGAGACTTTCAAAGAGCAGGTGCATTTATACGGAGACTTGATTACACACAGGTGCATTCTATTTATCATCATCAGTCATTTAGGACAACATTGGATCATTCAAAGATCCTCACTGAACTTCTGGACTGAGTTTGCTGCACTGAAAGTAAAGGGGCCGAATAATATTGCACGCCCCACTTTTCAGTTTTTTATTTGTTAAAAAAGTTTAAATTATCCAATCCATTTCGTTCCACTTCACGATTGTGTCCCACTTGTTGTTGATTCATGACAAAAAATAATTTTTTTATATCTTTATGTTTGAAGCCTGAAATGTGGCAAAATGTTGAAAGGTTCAAGGGGGCCGAATACTTTCGCAAGGTACTGTATTTACAGTAGCCTACGTGGTCCTGCTCTACTCGGCTCTACTCTCCTCTAATTGAAAGCATTTTCACCGGTCCTGTTTAACCGGTACCAAGAACTCTTTTAGTACCTTTAGTCCCTGGTTCTATTCAGTAAGAGCTGATACTATAGTGTTCTGATGGTGAGTGATTGGCCTTGGGTACTGCTTTGTTGCTAGGATACAATATCAGATACTAAAGTGTAATAGAAACCCAACCAGGTAGAGTAGAGCCAAGTGGGACTGGTTGAAACAGGGATTTTGAATATTCAAATTCATTTTCAAACAATTTACCTTTACTCCCAGTGTATTATGTTTGGTTGTGATCGCGGAAAAGGAAAACAAAAAAGCGTATTCACCTATAGTTGTTGCATTGACACACTTAAGGAAGTATGTAAGTAATCTTTATTTATATAGCGCCTTTCACAGACCAGAGTCACAAATCACTTTACACTTGTTGTGGGCATTTGTCTCTCACTCCACACAGAGATGGGAGCGAGGTCGTTGAACAGGAGGCGCATGCCAAACCTATTGTACATGTTTTTAGTGGTAAAAGGAAACCAGAGCAGGCCCCATTCCGACCGGGATTCGAACCCAAGACACTGTGTCGCTCAAGAAAAAAACACACATTTTGAATTGATGAAAGTGAAACCTCTTTGCCCTAACAAGATTTCTTAGTATTTTAAGAAGTATGTTTTTCTGGAAAACTCTTACAATTTGTGCTGTTTTTGAGTATAAAATCAGGTATTTTTCCTGCTAGGTCCTACAGTGTTTCAACCTATGCTTACAAGAACCAAACCAACAACAACAGCGAGTCCCACTATGCAGGTCTAGGTTAAATTTAGAATAAATTAATCTCAACTGGATGCCACTTACTCTGTATTCATGGTGGAGATGGAGTCCAATGTTGTGTAGCCTGCTGCGAGAAAGTTGTTTTTGTATTGGCTCATTTTAATGGAGTCGAGCCAGTCACCGATGGAGATGAACAGAGGGTAGTCTGGAAGATCCTCCGGAGAATCTGTGAGGCTGGCACAACACACAGAAATGTAAACAGCTCCTTGTGCCTGGTACACGTTGTAAAAAGACTGTTTTATTCACTTTAAATTCTTTTTAAACTCAAATAGAACTGCAAACAAGTGTCATAATAATACATTTTCTTTCCAAAAAGTATCAAATACATAATGATAACTTTAACTGGGAAGCAGCCTTTTTATCGAGGTGACTTTTTACCTCTGTGCATCGTTTGCAAGAGTAAGCAGACTCCCAGGATTAATGATGAGTTTATCTAGGAAGGAGAGGACATCCGTGAAGTTTGGTCTCTGTCCTGCTTCCTTTTGCCAACAGTGTAACATCAACTGATGCAGTGTCACCGGACAGCCCATAGGCGCGGGGAGACGGTAGCCTTCCTCAATGGATAAAATCACCTGTTATAAAAAAAGTATTTATATTTAGAAACTATTGCATAGACTTTAAATACTGAGCAAATGATATCTTACATCTTGATTGGACATCTCCCAATATGGCCTTTCACCATAGGACATCACTTCCCACATAACAATACCGTAGCTCCACACATCACTAGCAGATGAGAACTTCCCATAAGCAATTGCCTCTGGTGCCGTCCAACGTATGGGGATTTTTCCTCCCTTTAAAACACAATTAAAGGGAAAACATTAGCAGACCAGATGTTAAAGAAGACACACTTTTCTATTCACTCTATTTAATTTGACGGCAACTTCTGTTCATACATACGTTATAGATGTAGGCCATACGGACAAAAATAGTTATCCCAGTAAATGATTTATCTACTGTATATATTCAAGCAACCTTAGGTAAATCCAAGAGAAATGTCAAAGCATGTGTTAAACGTGTATTTGTTATGGTTGTTTAGGGACTATTCATATGAGAAATTATACTATACTACACATTTGCTCAAAAATAAATAAATACATTTTGCATATCTTTCAAACAACAATCACAAATGGTTACATATCATTTGCCAATCACTAAATACATACAAAATGGGAAGGTTTTCTGTGGCCTGATCCTTAGATGCAGATCTCAAAATAAGTTACACAGCACAATCCAAAACTATGCAATGACAATGATGAGTCGGGAAAGCTCATTTTGATTCAGCATGATAGGTCTCTCACATGTGTGTGTAGATGATGAGTCTGACGTACTGTAGCAGTGTAGGCCGCCTCAGAGTCATCCTCCAGGACCCGGGACATGCCAAAGTCAGATACTTTACACACCAGATTCTTGTCGACCAGAATGTTTCGAGCTGCCAGATCCCTGTGCACATAACCCATGTCTGAAAGATAGGTCATCCCCACTGTGATGCCCCGGAGCATGTCCACCAGCTGCAGCACTGTGAACTGACCGTCCCGGCTCTGAAGTGGAGAGAGAAAACCAACAACTAGTATGACCACAACTGCACCAACTTTGACTTTGTGTATTTTGATATGGAAATTGGATAGTTACCCTCAAGAATGAGTCAAGAGCTCCATTTTCCATATACTCCACCACTATCATAACTGGCCTGCCTGGAAACAGAACGGTTTTAGCAACAATGTATCCCAAATGAAAGTATAGCCCGTAATGTTGTTGCTGCAAGATGGTCGCCGCCTATTGGATAGTGACATTTGTTGACATTGCCTACTCAGAACTGTTTACAATGTAGGTACTCAGAAGAATGCCATTAACATGTGGAAATGTACTACTAACTAACCACGTGTAATTTCTCCACATTTTCAGTTGTAGAGAATTTCATGTTTTTTCATTGTTTCTGCCATGTGCTTATATGCACATTTAAAGAATGTATCATTAAAAAAAAATACATACAAACATGTAGCTTTAGAGTCTAATCCCAAACTGTGGAATAGTTTATCTCTGGGCATTGGAGCAGCTAGAGTTCCTTGGAGACATTTAAATCTTTAAAAGTGAAATTTGTACGCCTTGGCTTTTAGACCAACTGAGTTTTATTTGACCTATTTGTATATTTCAAGCTGGTTTTTTTTCTTTCTTTTTTTGAACCATATTACTAGTATAAACATGACTAGGGTAAAATGCAAATCTTTCTGTGACAGATACCATGCAATTACCATAAAGCACAAATTATACTTACTATTAGTGACAACTCCTTCCAGCCTGATGATATTGGTGCAACAGAATTGGCCCATGATTGACGCTTCTCTCAGAAAGTCCCGCCTCTGCTGTTCTGAATATCCACCTTTGAGTGTTTTTATCGCCACCGGGACGTCCATTCTGCCTGGCAAACGCAGGCGCCCACTGCACACTTCTCCAAATTCACCTGAAAAATAAGCGGTGTACTGTATAACTTAAATCATCAATGGCTTAAATATTGTTATATATATGACAATAATTAGATTGTACACAACATCACAACATTTACCGCAATTGCCTTTAAGTTGGGACTTTTTTTCAAGTTCTTTGTAAAATGCAAAGTCAAATTGAGCTGGTATAGGTGCGGCAATAGTCCATGAAGCATTTTTTTGTTGTTGAAGTTTTAAGTACAAGTATAGATAAAAGTACTGAAATCAGGAATTTATTAATGTTTTGTAAAGACAAAGAATACGGAATTAAACAAAACCTGTAATTCACATAGAAGCTTGGCTAACCACTTAAAATCTGTTTATTTGTTGTGTCACCATCTGCAAAAGAACTGACTATCAATACATATAAAGAAGAAAGAACAGATATTTGGTTTAAAAGTACACTTGCCACCTTTAATTAATGCTATGTTTCCAACTTTGTGTAACATTATCATGGCCCATGGATAACCCTGTGTCTCATGACATGAAAATGAATGTCTAGATGATAAAACAATAAATCCATATTGTATTTGTATCCATTTGAGGTGACATTTGTCGTTCTTTGGCAATGAATAACAAAGACTGTAATTTCCCTTTATATCCAGTAGATGGAGCCCAAACCACAAGAACCTCATATACAGAGGGCACCTTTAAAATCATCCATGGGCCAGAGAGCAAAAACAATCTGTTCAATTTAATAAACCAGTGAACATTACTGCTTTCAAAAATGTGCAATGATTCCCCCTAATAGAATATACAACACATAACATACAGAATTAGCTGGCTAAGACTATAGCTATACAACAATAAAATTCACTCTTTATGCATAAAGCCTCATGAGGCTTGACTTTTCTCACAAAGAAGTGGTTCTCAGCATAAAAGCAGACTGTGAATATGCTTTTTAATCTAGATTGTACCTGCTCCGATCACCCTCTCGATGCAGATGTATGAAGGATCGATCTCTTTAGCAAACTCCTCCACGGCCTGTGTCGGGTCCTCGTACGTGTCCGGATCCACATAGGTCTTAATCCCAGAAAATGGCACTATAAAACATGCACAAACAAGGGATGAGATGGATACATGTGTGCAGAATGAACAGAGATGTTTCGTGAAAGTCTTAAATCTCAGAGGATTCAGCTGTTGGAAAAGCCTGAAGGAGGAATACTTTTCCATTAATAGTTAAACAAGTTTGAAGTTTATGAAAATCTCAGAAACACATGCATCATCTGCCTTCACAGACAACAGCTTTCATCATTTCAATCATTTCTCAATGTTGTGTTTTCTTCCCAGAACCATCAACACTGCTCCAATTAAACTAAAGCTCAGCACATTTACAAGAGATGATATTTCAAAAGCTTAGGTTAGTCCTTTTGTGAAATATCGTATCATTGAAATGAATTTGATTTCTATTGTTTCAATAATGAGAAAATGCTATATATACTTTGTTTGCAAGTATACAATCTGGAATCCTCAACTTTGAAACCACAATTTTTGTTTGTCTTTTTGTCCCAACCACAGCTCTTTTGGTTGGGACAAAAATATATATTTATGAAACCAAAAAAGTGATGTATGCCAGCTTTAAGTAATTATAAAAAACAAAACAAATGGTGATAGTCCTGGTTTTAGATAACTTAGTGATTTTTTTTAATTATACACAAAACTCCTTGAACTGAGCCCTTGACTTAATCTTTTAAACGATCTGAAATAGTTCTAGATATTTTCTTGTTTTTTTCTACCAAGATAAGAAAAAGTTGAAGCTGAGAAAAAGCCACACAGCAGCAGCAGCAGCAGTAGATGAAGACATCACATGAAGCCCAAACCTCCTCCTCTTTCTCCTCTTCCTCCTCCTGCTCCTGCTCCTTGCGCTGTGTGGCTGCTGCATAAGCACTGAGCCTGATGATGACTGGCACGAATGATAAGTGAAGCAGCCGCAAGTGCAGCTCCAACACACTAACTGGGACTAAATGTACTTTATGGCAGTGTCAGCGCATATTGTGGGAAAGTTGAAGACATCGTCCACTATAGATTCAAACTCGCAAGTCTCGCTGAAGCCCTGTCTCCCGGGAGTCTAAACACAGTCGTAATAGAGATGACTTTTGTGTAACCTCCCTGTTTGGGTGATGCCGCCGCTGTGCAACCTCCACAACCAAGCGATAAAGAGCAGCAAAAGGAACATTCTGGCTTCTATAACAATCTAATAATAACAAAAAAATTGCATTGGTTACACTAATATGAGACAAGATTTTATACTTGTTCTTTGATGCTAGAGTTAGAGATTTTGTTTTATTTTAATTAGTATAGCTATTGTTCACTTATCTTGTGCTGTGTGCTCCTCATTCCTACTGTTCTATAACTTGAAATTTACCCGCTGTGGGACGAATAAAGGATTGCTTAATTTTAATCTCTCTTAATCTTACAGCTGTGATAACTCACTTTCACACTGCAAAAAAATAATAAAATAAACCACTGTATGTGTTTGTTCTATCACTGTTTCTTTTTAGACAGAGAAGTGAAAGAGAGAGGACTGGTATCAGCCTTAAGAATCAAACGGTAACTCACAGGGCACAGCTTTCTTGAAAGATGCAAGAACTAATATTGCAAATTGACTGCAGTCACAAATAGCAAATCTCAAACACTGTAACTAAATAATCCTTCACAAACAAACCAAAATGTTATTCTCGGACTTAAACAAGTGTGATGTCAAATGGTGCCACAGAATCACTAGTAAAAATGGACAAAAGCGTTAAAAAAATTCAACTTGTATGTTCTCAAATGTTTCATCTGTAATCTTCTGTAAACAGGTAATGGAACTGATTGTTTGTCCACATAAATAATCACTGTACTGTAAGAGTGAGAATATAATCCTGCACAACACAACTGCTTTTAATCTGGATCGGAACATTGTCAGAATAAAAGCCTGTCCCAGATTGTAGCTGCATCAATCTGAAGTGCTGCCTCCCCCATGCTCTGTCCTGACTCTGAGCACCAGTAGGAGAACAGTCCCTACTGGGTTAACTCCTTTTGCAGATTGAAACGATTGGATCTGAGTTTACCGTGGCGTCTGTAATGCGCCCAAGAGAGTTGCTAGCATTAGCCTAGCTTTAGCCATCTCCTTTGCCACTAACGGAGCCTGGGGGGAGTAGTGCCACAATCTTTTCCACCAATTACATTTGTTAAACATTCCTCTTGCTGCGGCTTCAATTTCTTGATAGAACCAGAACGAAATACTTTACTATTCCATTGTTTGCCATTGCCAGACTACAACCTGCCCTTCGCTACTACAACCTTCGACGCTAACTCTTGACGTCACCGACAGCTCCCGCACTCTCTGATTGGTCGGATGGGATTCAACCGATGTAATTGCAGACACAGAGACTAGACCCAGACGGTACATGCAGAGAAATGATGATTGACCGGAGTTTACGGATGGCTAAGGTCAGACTAACAAACAGCTAACTGCCAATCAACTCTCGGCCCAAAGTGTCAAATAACGCCTCATAGGGCTCGTTCTTACAAGCATACAACAGATAACGTGTTTTCTATCAGAATAAAACACTATGTTGTGGTCTGATTTACCATTTACTAGTCTCTTTTTACCAACATGTATTTTAAGAAAGAAATTAGGTACCGCAGCTTTAAAAGGGCAATGAAAAGACACTTATGATAGATATTTTTGCTGGCGCCCACAACTTTATCAAACTGGTTAGAAGCGTGAGAGTCTGCACATCCTCAGATAATTGTGGAAATGTAATTAGATGATTTGCCAAAGGGTGTGGGAAAGATGCACCATGGAAAACTTCAATCACCATCGTTCGAATACGTGAAGAGAATGGAGACAAGAGAGGACTTGTTTACCGTGTCCGCTGTGGAAACGTGTCCTTCGCTTCTCCTCAGACTTCATCCTGGCTTTGATGTAGCCCTGACACCTGTAGAATAACCAAATGAGAAGAAAAGAAAAAAAAAAATATACATTTTTTCAATACACAGGACACTTTCAATAACATTAGTATGGGAAATTAGACAATGACCCAGTAGGTTCGAGGGGACTTAAAACGTCTATTTTAAGTAAGTGTATCTATAAGTAATACATTTTCTGTTGAGACAAAAATGGAGTCGTAACCAGGTAAAATGTGGTGAACAAATCAGACCAATAGTCTTCATAATTTTAGCGAATACGTTTGTGGGAAAGCCCTGATTGGCTGAGAATTGGTCCTCTGTTTGTACATTTAAGTCTGTTTTTTTTGTTTTGTTTTGAGGGCAAGGAAATAGTTAGATGGATTTTATTACATATTCCCATTTCTTGTGTTCTGAGAGTTAGGTACCCCAGCTTTATTTTTTGATCCTGTCTCGTTGTCCAGTCAAGACCAAGACAACGTGAGGCACGAGAATACGTCAGCTCGAACATTCTTCACCGTCCTCGTTCTACAGCCTGAGTCCTGGATCTAAAGCTTGTCCGTCCATGGGAGAAAATCCCTCGATCAATGTGGGCTTCCCTGAGGTTTCTCACTTTTTTCCCAGTTTTCCTTTTTTAAACGTTCTTTGCCGATGCAGGAGGATATGCTAATAGTGATAATAGGGACATTTAATAACATTCATGGATATTTATTCACTTTTCAACATTGGTCATCCTGTTCCTTGTGGACCAATGACTCCTATGTGTTTCTTGTTATTGCATTTCCTGTTTTCAAACTGCTTGATTCTTCTTTCTATTGTTGAGGAATTGACAACTTTTTAAAATCCTACGAGACAACTGCTGTTGCGATTTAGGGCTCTACAAAAATATTGAATTGAACGAGAAAAGCTGCGCGATCTGAGTGACCATTTTGCATCACTATAAACTAAAGTATAACTAAAATCCAAAGTATGACATACATTATTGGCATTTAAAAAAGTTTAGCTACACTTCGACACTTGAGAACCGGTGCTGCACATTGAATTCTACGACAACTATTGCATATATTGTGTGTATATTCGATTTGAGAATAGGGAAGCAGCTTCAAGCCAAAATCTTTGAAACATTATTCGTTTACTTTTGAAACTGCATTCATCATGTTACAAAAGTTCCATCGCTTATTTCTTTGCTGAGAACAAAAGCGTTCCTGTAATACCAGGCCTTATCAAATTATCAGCAGATCCAAAGTCATTTTTCATAGTTTACCAATAATTGCGACTGATAAAAAACCCTATGAACCAAAGGACACAAATCTGCTCTAACCTGCGGAAGTTAATGGGATGGAGCAAAGTGCTGGTACATGCATTACGTGTCGAGTAATTAGCCAGAAAATTGGTGCAGCGAGTTGGAAAATAAGTGTCCGCCTGATGGCAAAGGAAGTCGTTAAGAGACTTCTGCAGGAATCACAGTAACGATGAGAAGTGTGTGGTCTGAGTGTGTGCAAGGCCCAACGTGATTTTTCACACTTGTAATAAAATCTATCGTAATCTTGGTAACCGTGGTGTATTTGCTGCAGCGAGTTTACACAGGTTTCTCCCACTGATTCATGGAGATTTGGGCAGTGGAAAAGTGTATTCATTTGGGGAGGCTGCATTTCATGCAGATTCATACTGCTAAAATCTGGAACAATCTTCTTGAAAATGTGAGACAGACCTCTTCTCTGACAATGTTTAAAACCAGGTTCTGTTCAGCTGTGCATACAACTGAGGCATTTTCTTTTTAATGTACTGTGATTATTTATTTTAATTTTAATGTGATTTTGTCTTGTTCAGCACTTTGAGTTGCCTTGTGTATGAATTGTGCTATACAAATAAGCTTGCCTTGCCTTCATTTGTTCATTTATTTCTTTCTTCCACACATCACAGGCCTTTTTGACAGAGAGTTCAGGGTCAGAGGAAAAGGGCAGACCTTGTTTTTTGTGTGGATATTTTTTTATTGATGGACATTGGTCATCTGCCCCTTATGGACCAATGGCTCTATGTGTTCTTTATCGTTGTATTTCCTGTGTATGAACTGTTTGATTCTCTGTTTGGCAAAACAAAAAATAATTTAATTGAAAATTCAATGAATAAAGACAAATTATATTAATAAAGCAATATACATTAAAACATAAAAAGATACATACATTAAAAAAAAACATTAATACAAAGAAATACAAATTAATACAATAATAATACTATCAGTTAATAAATAAACATGTAAATACAGATGTAAATACAGACAAAACATCAATAATAATAAAATAAATACATAAATAAAGAATAAAAACATACGTTAAAAAAAAAATAAAAAAAATCTAATATTAACAAAATAGCTCAATTCTGCCTGGTTGGAGAAAATCCCGGTTTAGTTAAAGCCAAATGTGAATGCTGCTTACCGTCCAGTGATGAGCAGGAAGAGGGTGAGGATGACCAGCAGAGAGAACCCGCCCACTGAGGCTGTGACCATCACCAGGACCTGGCCCTGGTCGGCAACATCTGGATCTATGGAGGACGTGGTATAATAATTATATGTCCACATCTGAATTTAAGGACAGATTTGTATCTATAATTATGACATCTCATCACTCTGACAGCCTGCACCATTTCCTCCCAACAAATTACCTCTAAATATTGTTAAATGTTTAATTCTTCATCACCAAGTACATCACCTAAATCCACCAAAAAAGAGAATATATGAATAACTACTAATCTATATATCTGTCCTGTAAGGAATGTATTTCAAATTAAAAAATACCCCTTATTCAATTTAAAGAAGAATGAATTAACCGACAAATATTTTTTTTAACAATACTAGATGTTTTAGATTAAAATTAAAAGGGGGAATTTCAGTGTTGCATTACCAGTTAAAGAACAGAAGAAATGAGGAGCACACAGCACAACAACAGTAACAATCACTCTATACTAATATAAAATACAACCTCTTTTGCTTAACAAAGAAGACAGAATTATAAAATAGTATGTCTTGGTTCGTCTTTCTATGAGCTGTGAGTATATAATTATGGAGCATGCGTTTCATTGTATATTTGTAGACATCTGATTTGTATAGTTGGGTTATAATTAAGCTTAAACTTGAAACATTTATTCATTAGATTTCTTCAAATATGAAGCTAAGAAAGCGGGAAGAACAGCCTTGATCAAAGGATGACCTTTATCTGTTCAATATCTGAAATAGAAAGTAGTGTTTGTTTATTGCTGTCTATTCGATGTACAGTGAATTTGTCCTCGGGGCAGACAAGCTCAGGGAGCACTGCCAGTGGAACTGTTGACAGTTGCTGTATCTTGTCTATACTAAATAAATACACCACACTGTGATTGTACTGTAGCTCTGGGTTGGTGTCTCATGTTACTATTTATAGAAATATGAAATACTGTACTAGGATTGTTTATTGCTTGCAATTGCTTGGGTCTACACGTTTATACTTCTTTCCCACTCCATTTTGAGCTGACAAATTGTAAATAGAAATATATTTGTAATACATATTGAACTTGTAAATATACTAACACACGGGGAAACTCTGGCAAATACTGTTGCTTGATATATCTATGTATATACTGTATATATATTTTGCATATATTTAAAATCGTTTTTAAATCGAGTTTTTATCATCTGCGGCTTTTATCCAAGGTTAAAACAAGTTATGCACGCTTTTATTTCTTCACGTCTGGACTACTGTAACGCACTCTACTCCAGTATATCACACAAGGCACTTCACCGGCTACATTTAGTCCAGAACTTTGCGGCACGGCTTTTAACAGGAACCAAAAAGGGCGACCACGTCACTCTTCTCCTTGCGTTCTTGCACTGGCTTCCTGTTCATTTTAGAATTGATTTTAAGATTTTATTGTTTGTTTTTAAAGCTCTGAATGGACTGGCCCCTCCTTACATTTCGGACCTCATCCAAATTTACCATCCGTCCCGCGCGCTGAGGTCCGAGGGCCAGCTCCAGCTCGTGGTACCTAATACGAGACTTAAAACCCGGGGGGACAGGGCCTTCTCTGTGGCTGGACCAAAGCTCTGGAACGCCCTGCCTCCCCACATCAAAACAGCTCGCTCGTTGGAATGTTTTAAGTCTCGTCTTAAGACCCACTTTTATTCTCTGGCTTTTAACACCGCGTGAGTTGTGTGGTCCTCTGTGTTTTTATTTTTCTTTTATTTATTTATTTTTTGTATAAATGTGTGTATTTATTTGTTGCCATTTTGCATGTTGTACAGCACTTTGGGAGCTGTGTGTTTATGAAATGTGCTATATAAATAAAGTGGATTGGATTGGATTGGATATTTGTACATGTAAGTGCAGTAGGCAACATGCACAAAGGTTCTCCATAAACTAAGGAATGTAAAAGTTGTTAATACTACTAAGAATGTATAATTTCTGCTCAAATGAATTAAAATCAATCAATCAATCAAAGCAAACCCTTTTTGTATACACACTTAACTAGGGTGTGTGTGTGTGTGTGTGTGTGTGTGCGTGAACGAGGGGGGTTGGAGTCCAATAAGTATTTGCTTCGTCCAACCCCTTTTCAAACTGTGTCTTGTTTGTTTTGTTATTCTGTTTGAAAAATATAATTTTGAAATAAACACTTACTTACTATGTTGTTGACTATACTTCCGCCATTCTTATATTTGGAGCTATAACACTGCATCTATCTTACTAATGACTTGGAGTTTTCCTTCTGCTCCGTGTGGCGGTGTGCTGTGTGATATATCTGTTGAAGCGTGGATTTTGCGGCGGCTGTGAGCATTATGAGTGCGCGGCATAAAGGTCTATAATAAACACCGCCTGAATCAGAACCTACAGCGCTGATCCACATTAAAAAATAAATAGCTCATGGCTGAAGAAGCACCAATAAGTTTTACTGAGCCGTGCTGAACAATGCCCATAAAGTGTATCCGAGGTTTTTATAGGATCAGCACGGATGACTCAACCACCTCTGGCTTTCTGATTCGTAATGCCTTCACCTTGAATTCCAGCAGACGTTTTTGATGTCTGAGTTTGAATGGTAGCCACAGAAAAACATAACGTTAAGCAGGACTTTTCAAATATCCATACAGTTTAAAAATATAGTAGATTTATGGAATGAATCTACGTTCAATCTAGCTGTAAAGGAGGCAACTATAACTTTTAACTTAATGTAGCTTTTATTGTTAAAAACAGACCCGAGTCATCCCTTGTTGGAGCAGTAAGGTCTAAGGAAAGTGATGATCCAAGACCTTTCAGGACATTTAAGCACAGCTATGAACATTGGTCACCCTGCTCCCTCTGGACCACTGACTCGTATGTGTTTGTTATTATTGCATTATGTGTTCAAACAGTTTGATTGTTGAGGAATTAACAACTTTGTAAAGTCCTCTGAGACATCTGTTCTGATCCACTCTGGAGGCTGTTTCTCAACGACTGCGTTTTCACTCCCCTGAAAAACCGTCTCCATGTAAACAGGAGGCCAAACCGATACCCAACTCTAACGTTTTACTGCTGCTGCGTATCTGTCTAAACAGGGCTTAAGAATCGATGTCTGACTTCTGACAGCAACCATTGTTCATAATAATAGAAATAATATGAATGCAATGGTTTTGTATTGCGCTTTTCAGAACACTCAAAGACGCTTCACGTGTCGTCACCATACAGTAGTGATAAACTACTACTGTAGCCACAGCTGCCCTGGGGCACACTGACAGAAGCGAGGCAACCAGTATGTGCCATCGGCCCCTCCGACTAACACCAACCATTCGCACACACAACAGACACATTCTAGACGATGTGGGTGAAGTGTCTTGCCTAAGGACACAACAACAGTTTGGCACTTTACAGCCGCGCCAGTGTAACACCTGGTGCTCCCAGAGGTCTCCCTTCACAGTACTGACAGACCCTGCCCTGCACAGGTCCAGAGGTCTGACGGGTTCTGGTTAATGTATGGGAGTTATGGGGTAATAACATTTTTCAAATGCCGTCCACTACATTTTTTAATTATAAGTTCTTTGGATTGTTGTGATGTCACATGAATGCAACCTTCTGAATATGTAGACATAAGTGGTCAGTAAAACTTCATTCTGTTGAACAAATATGGCTGTACATGAGTGAATAAGGGGAAATGACCTGAACATAAAGCTAATATTCACTTTCACAAATGAGCAGAATCATAAATTCACTCTTCATTAGAAGTTATTCTGTGTCATACCTTCTGCAGCAGTGGAAAACTCAAAGTTGGGGCTGTATGCAGTGAACCCGGCGGTGGTCCGTGTGCGCACATGGAACACATAGACAGTGGAGGGTCTGAGGCCAGTCACCACCACACTGGCCGTCCGAGTGCGGGTCGAAGAGTAACTCAATTGCTCCTGCTCCTGCCGAGACGTGATGCAATGAAAACACAACTATTAATAAAGAACAGCATTTGAACAAAGTACTTCATTTTCCCCAATTAACTTCCACAGCAGATGGTGAGCAAAGCAGATTTAGAAATGAAATATGAATACTCTGCACTAACAATGCATATTGTTCTGTGAGCTGCAGTTACTGTGTAAAACTGAATATTTGTCCCCATTAGCAAAACCATAACCATTTATTGCAACTGAGGCATAAAAAGAAAAAGACCCCCTAAAGAATGTGCATAAGGATTGCCAACTCAGAATACTATACTTTTAAATATATTCTTTCAATTCATGCTTTTGGGGACGATCCAGCTACATATACAACCAAAAATACACAACAATACATTACACTGTGATGAATTAATTAGCTCGGTTTGTGCTATTAATCATCAGTCAAATGTTTACCCTTTCATAGTACTTGACTTCATAATCCACTATGTCAGCGGGCGGCTGTTCCACCTGCTCCCAGGAGAGGGCGATGCTGTTCTCAGTGGCCCAGTCCTTCCTGACCACCCCCACCAGCGCTGGACCTGCACTCACACCACAGACTGTATAAGAAAACCATAGGCTGCATGGTAATAACAACAATATAATAAGATTCACACAGACACAGAGACAGCGCCAGTGACGGAGCATCGCATACCACGGGGGAGGAAGGGAGTGGGAAGTGAAATTAAGAAAAATGGCTGACAACTGGAACAGGCAGTCACCTGTCCTGGCCCTGGAGGTGTGGGGATATGAGCGATTACAGTCATTTACAGCTCCAGCCACTGATCCACACTCTTAATCTGTGGGCTTTGAAGGAAACTTGAGAAATAATAAAGTTTCAAATCATATTTTTGTAACAAAGCCACAGGGAGGTCCCTGATGGCATTTGCACCAATTACCAGACAAGATGTGTGAAAGCTCAAAAGAAATTCAACATATCCCCCTTGAAGGATAGGTACAATATGTAGCTATAACATTAAATATGACAGTACCTATATTTTGAGATTAATATCTATCCACATATCTATCTATCTATCTACTGATTGATCTATGTATGTCTATCTATTCCTCAGCCTTGAGCCATCCCACTCCCATCCACAATGTATTACAGAACAAGATAAAAGAAAGAAACATTTTGTATTTGCAACATTCTTAATTACGCACAATACCATTTATATAATTACTGTAAATATGAAATGGAATGATTTACAAAGCTGCAGAGAGGGAGTGAGACACAGAGAGAGAGCTCCCCAAAGACACTCAAAAGTCTTCTATTAATAATGTATGAATGCCTCTCATGAACAGAATATTATTTGGAAAACTAATACAGCCCGTTCCTCTGTTGTGAAGTGAGCTGTTACGGGAAACATTGAGTGAATACAAATGTTGTCCTAGATTCATGTTTAAAAGTGTCCCTTCTTTCAAAGCACACGGCACACAACTTCAGGCTTGTTCAAGTGCAGTTAACAAGGGCATCATTACACAGGCTAGTTTTACAAAGTTTCACAGAAGAGAAATGCAGAGGATCTGGTAAATCACAAAACTAAAATGGGAAAAAAACTATGAAGGAATGCACAGGATTTGACTTTCACTTTGACTAAGTCTTTGTGGATGTTTTTATGATGGTGTGGACCTTTTGGATTATTTTTTACCTTGTTTTATTTTATTTCTTGTAGTTTGAGTTTGCTTCCAGTGTGTAGATGGTTTGCCCCCCTGATGTGATTCACCTGTGTCTCTCTTGTGTATTTATATTCCCTGTGCATTGTCAAATTGACTGCTTTTAATAATTATGAGTGAGCTCCTGTCATCTATGAAACAATTAAATCACTATTCAATCAAAAGAATGTTTGGAGCCATCACCAGAACAGTGACCAGAACACGGTTCTATTATTAAATGTACAGCATGCACAGATATAGAAATAGACTAGAAACTGGTTACTATATTTCCTTGACTTCAAATCCACAAAACTCCTCTATACAAACTGTAGTCCATAAAAGTGTGGCTGGAGCCAGAGGAGACATCTGCTGATGCCACATATGCGGCGGTGTTCGGTGGGCAGCTGGTGTCTGCGGCGCACATACTGGACCAAGATGTTGAGGGAGTCGCTGTGTCCCAGTCATGCTGCTTGTTGTAGGTATGATGGCAAACAGCACACACAACAGCATGTATTGACAAAACCCAAACTAAACAATTTAAAAAGCATTCAATGCTGAATAGTTTAACATAATTTGTTAGTTGAAAAAAATGCGTCTTCAAAGGCTTTAGAAAAATAAAGCCTTCATCACATTGGCGTGAATTTTGCTCGGTTGAGTTACAGTAATAGTTGGCGAGACTCTGTTGGAAAGAAAGACATTTTGAAAAAGAATGTCAAAATGTTAGTCTTAATATTCACAAACCTGCCAGACTATTTTTATGTACAAAAGTCCTTTTTAAAGGCACTTGAACCTTCTCACCACTTAAAAAAAATACATTCTACAAAAAGATTAAACCATAGTGTATATACTGTATTCTGACAAAGAATGTTGTGACTGTTGATGATTCCACTACCCTCCTCCACAATTCACACTGAGCTCTTCAGATGCTGTGATGTCACATGAATGCAATAATAAAGTTTCAAATCATATTTTTGTAACAATGATTTTGAGTGATGTTTGAGATTAGGATTTTTGTTTTGTTTTTACTTGGGCTGTACTCAACAAAAAAAAAAAATGCACAGCAAATTATTGTTACGAACAAGTCCTGACCAGAACCTGGAAGTAAAATCACATAAGTCCAGTTCTCAGGTCTCTGCACTAGCTTCCTGTGGCTCAGAGAATAGACTTAAGAGCAGCTGTGCTTGTGTACAGGTCTGTCCATGGCCTCGCACCAAAGTACATCTGCGACATGTCGGTACGATATGAACACCACCTTTTCTTAAACCAGAAGCACAGGGATTGGCCCCCTGCTGGCGCCCAGACTCGGGAATAAGAATTTCAGATTTATGCAGCTAAAATATGGAAAGGTCTTCCTGAAGGAGTGAGACAGGCCACCACCCTGGTTATATTTAAGTCCAGGCTGAGAACACTTCTTTTTAGCTGTGCCTTTTGTGTGTGTTTTACAGTTAAAGATGCAGTCAACGATTTATCCAGACGCATTCTTTTCAAATACTGAGGGGAAACGTCCCTAAAGCCCAAAAGTAGTCAAGCAATCATGTGTTTTCAAATAGGAATGGACATGACCAGATGTCTGTAGCCTCAAAAAATAAATCATAAATATTTTGGAGCGGACCGATAGGAAGAAACCCTCGAGCCAATGGGATGCGTTGCCAATTTCACATTTGCCACTCGCCCTGTTGTGGCAAAGAAAAGAACATCAGATGAGGAAAAGGTGTTGTATAAGAAGACTTCGGGACACAGCCAGAGCTATGTAATGAAACGGCAGTTGAGTTTCGCTAGTATGTAACGCCGTATGAGTAATGGCGTTCGTGTGTGCTGGAAGTTAGGTTTGGTGGAGGGCAGGGAGGTAGGGGGAGTGGTTTTGACTCGGTGCTACTCGGATGCTAATGCTAAGCTAACATGCTCCTTCACTGCACCTTTAATGAGTCAATGTGAAGCACTTTGAGTTGCATTGTTTATGAATTGTGCTACAGTATACAAATATGTGTTGATTGATTGAATTAATGGCAAAATGTGGATTGATGCAGTCGCCTCTTTTGCCAATACAGCCTCCAAATGGATCTTGGACTCAACAACAAGTATGTTCCTTCTGCTTTATATTGCATTACCAACCAGCCCTTGTGGATAAAACAGGACTTATATATTCAATATATGTATGCAGGTGGATTATTTAACATTCTAATTTACAATCACGGCACAGAAGTGGCTCAATACCAGCACATTAAAGAACACTCGCAGTAGACACCTAAATCCTTTTCCCTTTTGTTAAAGAAAAATGCTAGATAAATTAATCAAATTGAACTTTTCATGCAAGCAACTAATGTTGTGGGGAAGGGGTTATACATAGGGTAACTCCTTATGTAATTCCATCTAGTTTTGAGAGACATCTATATTATAATCCTGAGTAAAACGAGGGGGAGAGGCTGGGAGGCTGAAAATATCTGCAGCCAGCTATCCTGCGTAAAAAGCAGAAATTTATGCAAGGAGAGGCACTGAGAGGACCTCAGGGGGAAACAACCTAAATCCAAAGAGGAAAAGCTCCAACATCCGGAGCATATCAATCCAAGTGTGGACGACTATTTCCACAGTTGGAGACACTTCCCAAGAGGAGCATTCTGAAGCTCCGGGCTCAGCGTGTGATAGTTTTCATGTCAGCGCTGTCAACTCTGCGCAGCTTTAATGTAGACGCACACAGACATATTTATCATCTGTAAACATGGAACTGACATATGGTTTTGTTTGTTTTTGTGTACTGGATTATTGAAGCGGTGTGGATTGCTTCAAAAAGCTCCACTATGGACCAATGAAACGACCGAAGATAATGAACTTTTTAAAGTCTCAACACTAAAAGATTCTCGGCCAATTGGATATGGTTTTTCTTTCACGGGCGAGAAATCCCCCGGAACCCCCTTCAATGAGTGTAGTTTCAGGCCCCAGCGGATGTCCCCACCAAGTCTGGAACCAGATCTACGGTTAATGCACAAGAGCGTGTCGGCCAGTCATGTTTCAAATATGGAGACCACTTTTTGAAAGCACAGAATAGGTTGATATTACTTTAAATGGTCATTTAAAAAACTGCCTCTCATAAAGCAAACACACGCATTAAGATAATTTATGCTACTTCAAATGCCATGTCTGCCATCCAGTTGTGCTGGACTGCCATGCCTTCAGAGCAGAGACGTGTTTGTGGCATTCAAGTTTAAGGATTTGTACACATTTTATTCTATGCATGGAATCACAATAGGATTCAATTGATAGTTATGGGCAAATCTTTAGGAAACCTCAAAAATAGGAAAAGTACCAGCACTTTTCTCCCAAATATTCTGACCTCTCAGGTCAGTCCACATTCCTCGAATCAAAATAAACTGCACATATCTTGAAGCTGTGTACAGCTTTTTGTTGATAATCTGAGCAAAACCAATATAGGTTGCCATGGTAACCTATACTACAAATGATACATCGTTTTAAAGCGATTGAGAGGACAAATGAAACAGTTGGGTTTTGCTGATTGAGTAGCTCATGATGTCATCATGAGGACATCAAGAGGTCACTCACCGCCTCCACTGTATGCTACAGTGAAACAAATGGGGTGTATCCATCAGGGGTTTATCAGTGTTTGGGCTCGGACCATCGGCCATGGGAGACAGATTTTCCAAATGACAGTTCCTGGCAAGTAAGCCAAGCTTTGTTGGTAGCTTTAACAGAAGGCCTAAAATATAATCTAAACAAGTCACCTGTAAAGTTGTAGATTCGTTTTTTTAATGCAAGTTATTTATGAATATGTGTTTCTCTGTTCTTTGAGTTGATAACCTCAGTGCTGATGCGTCATCGCCATAGGCCGTAGAAGGAGTAGACTAACCAAGCACTGACGTTACCCATAGTGTTT